AGCCCCAGACCTCAGTAACATTTACTTGGCGTACACAGCAGAAACAGCTGAGAAGGCTATGGAGAAGGCACTGAGACCAAAATCCTCAAAATCAGCGAGGCCAAAGTCCAGTCGACCTAAATCCAGCCGACCAAAGAGTTCCAAAAAGTTAGTCTGCAGCACACAAATATCAATTCCTCCTTCCTAAACCAACCTTTCTTATACAATCGCATTCCATCATTTAAATTTCCATTTCCCTTATAACAATTTAATGTATATGTGACAACTTTTTGATGCAATTAAAAGCATGATTTATATACATGTACATGTGTATTTGTAATTTTAAGAGAGTATATTATTTTGAAAATGAATGCTGAAAATTAATGTTAAATTTATTAATCAATTTTAGTGCTGTAAAAGTTTACATGTACAATACAATATATTGAAAAAGAATGTTTTTCAAACCAAAGACATTTTTTTTCTATTGGGGGGGGGGGGGGAGTTAGGATATTTGCCTAATAATTGATAGTTTTTTACTGTCTAAATTTTTTGTCTGTAAAACTGATACATGTTTATGTGATATTTTAGGAAGCAGAAGGAGGCCAACATAGAGGACGTGATACAGTGACTTACAGCGGCCCTTTGGACTCTCATCATCATTGAGTTAGCTATCATTATAGGACTCTAGCCCACCACTTATCTCTGATAACAACTTGTTAATAAATCTGATAACAACTTCATGAAATTTAAAAGCAATTGTTATAAAATCCAAGCTATTGTGAAATCTAATTATAGCTGTTATAAAATCTGAAAACAGCTGTTTGTGAATCTAAGTTTTCTGTGGACATTGCTTTGCTTCTGTAGCCAGAAAATTATAAAATGTTAATTAATGTTTTAAATTTGTTGAAAAATCAAATTTCTGAAATACCTGGGGGTAGATCTGCAAATTAATGACATGTATTGTCAATGATTTTTTTTTTTATTTATGTTTACCTTTACATGTGATATTATTTTTGTGACTAGTCACAATCTGAATTCCATCCATTTAGTTTTCTTTTTATTTATTTTTACACGATTGTACTTGCTTTTTTAGTGCAAAGGATTGTCTTTTTTTTTGTACATGTACAAATTAATATAGTTTAAAGTTTTTTTCAGGTCTCCATTAATTAGCTATTATATAATTTTATTTTTTTTTTCAAATTTGATTGAATTATTTTTCTGAAAGATAATCTACATGTATTTATCTGAATGATAATCTACAAAATTGGTTGTGAATAATTGTTTTGTACGCTGTGAGTGTATATGCCTCCGTACATGCAGTACAAAGGAAATAAAAATTTCTTTCTTCCCATTGGCATGAAATTCCTGAATAAATTAATTAAAAAGTACATAAAAAGTTGTCTTTTATTGTGCACATGTATAGTAAGGACTGGTACATGAACAGTGTACATTGTATATTCTATCCTAGTGAAAATCAATGCATGTCAGTTGAGTTGAACATCACAATTAGTTGGATAACTGATATAGAAGATGAAATGAACTTTGCAAATTTCTGTATGAAAAAATCAAAAACCTTTATAAATGAATCATTTCACATTAAGTATTAAATGAGAATTGAAATTCAGTCTGTAACTTTAAGGCTTCCAGTATAAGTAGATGCCATTAAAGAAAATCTGAAGTAATTTCTTCAAAGTGAAATAATTTGAGTACAGTACTGCTTTGTATGTGCCCTATACCGTAAATCTGGAAATTTTTACGTCGATTTTATTTTGCGAATCTGTGTCAAAATACTGTTGATTAATTTTTAAGTTTCAAAATTTTGTGAATGACCACTACTTTGTTTTCATTTTCTTATTGTTGAATTATTTTTAAGAAAAATATTTTTGCGAATGCAATGAACTCGCGAATTTGCTAAAAATTTATTTACAGCAAAAATTTCCAGATTTACAGTAGTAATCAACAGATTTCTCTCCCTTGGGCCCAGATAGCTCAACTTTCATCCGGAGTGCCCATGGAGATCAAAGGTCAAGATACATTGTGGAAATTAAATCATTTCTGTGACAAATCTGGAATGATAATTAAACTGAATGTTAATTATGCATTCAATACTGAGAAGAGACTTTCCGTATTATTTTATAATCATTTTTGATAGTCTAAATAAATTTGAATGATCCATGTAGGACCTAAGATTTTATGGGACTTGGTCACATCTAGCTGATGAACAGTTTACATTAACATACAATGATGGACACAATTATCCAGCGCTTCAAATCTGGTATAAAATAAATCAGTTTATCAGACAGAACAAAACACTTTTTCAGTTATTTTTTTTTTATCAATCTTTAACATAAACAAAAAATAAGGATATAACAAGGTACTTGGTCTAGGGGGTTCTTGTGTTACAAAGAATATAAAAGTTAGGGAGTGGTCTCTATTGTAACATGATTCAGGAGACTTAAAAGAATATAACACAATATATTATTCTTTGATCTACATATTTATACAGTTTTCAAATTTTAATGTGCATTAACACAAAATTCTGAAAGGCTCTGTCTTTTCTACATGACTGTATACAATGTTATAAAAATTGTATTATTAAAATAGAAGTCTGAGAAATTTTAAATGTCATTTACAACTCTATAATATATATATACTCATAGCCTTCCAAAATGAATTTTATAAAATTTGTTTCCCGTCACTGTAACACATGTAGTGTACATACATTGTATAACTAGATGTATATAATCATAATAGTTTTTGCAGTTACTCTGATAAAAAATATTACCAGGTATGTTTTTTCAGTTTTAAAAAGATCTCTTTTATTAAAGTCTTAAAAAAAAATTCTCTATAGTTTTTTTAAAAATGCACCAGAAGTGTTTATATCTACAAGACAAGACAAAAACGTATAAAGTTACATGTATTTCATTATGAACATCTCATTATCACTTGCACTGTGCTAGAAATCTACAACACTTCTATGAACAACCTGTGCTTTTCAATTTCGGCGTTGACATTTAAAATTGTTAAATTTAAGTTATAAATTTTGTGACGATTTAAAACATAACTTAACCACACAGCAAAAATGAGATCTGTGCAACAAATATGAAAACTGAAAAGAGTGGGGCTGTAAACAGAGTCGGACATGGTGATGAAGTAATGAATGTCAAATGGTAAACACCATGACTAAGGGGTGTTAAGAAAGTCCATTCCATGATGAAATATTTTCAAAAATTCTCAAAGTTGTGCTTAACTAACGAGATGAACTTTCAAGTCTGACAAAATCAGTAGAATGTGTTTTAGATTTATTAGCAATTCATGTCTAGCAGGACATTAAAGGATTTTTCCATCATATGAAAATAAATATAACACCTTTAATGCATCAGACAAGCTGATGAGCATGCTACATGTAGGTATAAGAATATAAATTACTTTTCAAAAGAATAGGTTTGTCATTTTCAAAATTTTTCACTGACTTGATAATTTTTGCATAGTATTTGAAAGGATGTTTTGACCTATGTGCTTAGTATAGGTCACAAATACATGTATATGGCATCCCTAATTTTTCTGCACAGACATCATCTGTTTTAATACCTGCCCTCCCCTTATTGATTCAACAAAAGACAGTTAAAACCTTATCAGTAGCAAGAATGGACTCTGTAAACATGAAATATCATAAATTGTAAATAAATTGTAAATATTTTCTCATCATATTAGAGAAAAAACTGGAATGAACTTTCTTAACACCCTTTAGAATAATGGAAAGTTTTAAACATGATTTTTGGTTGTGACAGTTATCGAAAAATTGTGTATAAAAATCTCACTATCAAATTTCCATATACAATTCTTTTGAACCTTGATAAATATGAAGAACTAGATGAACTAAATAGTACTAACATAACACTATAGCTTAGATTAGATCAGTTGATGCATCGTATACATACAATGTAGAGGCTAGTTTTGCTCTACTATTTTTAGAAATGACAAGAGCAAAATATACTGGAATTTGAGTATCAAGGTACAGTGTTATTGAGACAATGAAGTGAAAATGTTTAAATAAATTATAGTTCCATATACATAGTACTTTCTGTAAATAACATTATTATACACTGTATTTTAAAATTATTATGCATTTCTTATATCATATATACACAAAACTTTATTAAGTATTTGGCTCACATTTCTTATCATAAAGCATTTAATATATGAAGAGGCAGGATGTTTCTGGAAAAAAAGAGAAATCATCCCTGAAGACATTTCGGTAATTATATGAAGCCTTTTTTTCCCAAAAATTTCAACAACAAAGATTTAAATAAAAGAATGTTAAAATAACAATGTATCAGAAATATCCTGCTGATTGGGGGATTGGCATGAACAAATTTACAAAATACAGTCATATAGTATACATGTATACATAATTATGGAATCCTAAAATAATGTAGAATCAAGAAGAAACCCAAGCCAATTCCTGACAATGAAATGCCCCATTTTTATACAATCCACACCACACATCAATTTAATAAATGCCTTTTCTTAAACAATCACAGTCAAATTACAACTCTGAATGAATGCACAGTGTACTTAAAATACTGTAGTTCAATTAGAGTTGACCACAGTGCAAATATGACAGACATATAACATTATGCAGAGTTCAAGGTTGACCAACAGCTAGAACAAGTTTCTACAAATTATTAGTCAAGAGAAATTCTTTACTAAGGCAAGTAGACAAACAAAGAATAATGAAACAATAATACTGTGACTAATTTTTGTACATTTTGTTTTACAAAATGAGTTCAGTGTTTGAGTTAGGTAGATATATATGGCTTGAGCATATCATATGTACATGTGAAGATTATGAGTTACTTACAACATGAAAAATATATAATTCATAAAAATTATAATGATACTGTTGTACAGTGATAATGGATATACATAATTCCTGGCAATATTTACATACATCATTTATATAGAAATACATGTACATGTATTAAGATCTCAAAATCTGATCAAAGTATTAAAATTTTGCATACTAACTCAGCTAGGTAAAGCATTTTAAAGAAAATTTTCTTAGTTTTCTAAATTTCTGTTGAGTTCTAAATATAATTATATTGAATGACTTTTTTTTTAACCCATAATTTGTTGCAAGTCACTGTGTACTTTGTACAATGTTTTTTTCTGAATCACTATTAAATGATTTAAAATGTTCATAAATAATAATAAAATCTTTGAACACTCCCCCAAAAGGTGAAATTTTCTATATTCTGATTGTCTGTACATTTACCCTAAAACGTCAGACTAGTTAAAAGCTAAAGCTGACACACATTTCTTCTGTTCCCCCTAAATCTACACATCCTCGGCGACTTCTTTTTCTTGAGTTTTGAGAGCGAGTATGAGCTTCTCTATCAGGAATGACAACAGTTTGTCCAGGGGGTCCATGAATCCTCGCTGCATCCATTTAGGAATAGTGACACGAGCGTGAGAGAACCCAAGCTTCTGTAAGACATAGTCCACCACCACCGTGTCAATTTCTTTACCTTTACTGGCCCAGTGGAGAAGTCTGTAAAATATATGCCACTTCAGTTCTTAATCTGTTTTTTGTTGATTTTTTTTACTCTAAAAAATTATTTTTATTGTAATTACGCAATTTAGGCTTATTACAATTTGCATATAATTTTTTTGGAGAGAAAAATACCTCAAATCTACAATTTATGCAATAAGAAATATATTTCATATTATCAGTGACACAGTCAAAATGCAACAATATTTTTTGCAACGTTTGAATGATATTCACTTTCCATGTCACAAACTTTGAAAAGCCTAGTTCATAATTTGTTGTCTCTACAACACTCTTTACCTGACAGTGGGTTCTAGATGCCAGGTATTACATTCAAACACCCTCCAGTCCTCCTTCAGGGCTGAGGTGGGGTCTGTGATCCGCTTCCTCTCGGTTTCTGGGGTTCGTGGAGACTTGGAACTTGTTCCATAAGGAGGCTTTGTCCCTAAAATTGTTTTGTAGTCAATTTAAAATTGTTTATTAACCAAGTCTAAAGTAACATTACACATAGTTTTGGTCACAGCTAGGAAAATGTCCGTTACAAGTTTAACTTATGGAATGCCATGCATTATTTTTCTGCTTTATTTTCATGCAGGTTTTTGAATTCTCTCTACATATACGAGAGGTGTTAGAAAAGTTCGCGGACAAGTTTTATTGTGAGCACGCTATTTCCACGAAACCGGTCAAACTTTGCAGATAAAATCTTTACCTTTTTTCCAATTAATATACAAGAATTTGGTGCTCTCCGCTGATTATTGAAAAATATACAGCTTTTTCTTTTTGATAAATCTTGCTTCACGGAGCATGCTACATTTTGGCACGTTTACATCACAAAGACTCTTCATTAAAATTAAAAATTGCACAATTGTACCGCAAAGAGTTTTCTGATATTTTACCTGCCGCTATAGTATTCATGAAACGTCACTGGGAGAAATTTTGAACTAAATTGGAGGGTATATGACTGTTTTATAGCCGTTTTTAACTGATCAACGCTTAAAAACACAGCCAAAAATCGGAACGTCATTTAGCGTCATGGAGCACTGCACTATGTAAAAATTATGTATGCAGACTGGAAAATGTCTAAAAAGAGATTAAAATGTTCAAGATGCTGCCAGGAATATCCTACACCTACAAAGGACAAGTTTTCAAATGGTTGTAGCTTCATAAGAATGGAAGGATTAACATTTTGATTGATTACCTCCATCGATACTTCAATACCCCTGTATCGCATGGACGTTGCGTTGCGCCTGTATGGTTTTGCATAGTTTCCATACCTGATCGATTAACTGCATAGACTTTTTTAAAGATCTCAATAATATTCGAATCAGTACAAAAGACATTATATAAAAGAAAAGTAATATGTCTTGATATAGATATTCAATTTTAAAGTAGAAAATAGATAAGAAAAATCTGAAGAAATGAAAGATTTATAGAACACTGCTACAAAACGTTACCGGTTGGGTTGTCACGTCGCCTTATGTCAAGTGATTGCTCCGTGAATTCCATGACCTCATAGTAAAAATCGTTGTAAATTTTCAAGATTTTATTATATGAACCTGATTTTTTACATACCAATAAACAAAATGTAGGAATTTATTCAGACATACATGTAGGTCATACTTCACAGTACAAAATAGATTTTCCGTAATTCAAAGTGTCCGCGAACTTTTCTAACGACCCTCGTAAAAGAATGTAAAAGTTTTCATGACAAACAAGAATTCAAAAGAAAAGGGATGTCTTTTTCTGGAATGTTTTATGATTGATGTCTATACCTTTGTCTTTCTCCTTGATATATGAAAGGATAAGGTCGTGAAGGAATAGAATGACCTCTGCATCCATGGCAACAAAAATATGATCCTCAAACTCTGTCACAAAACTGCACTCCACAATAGGACGGGGGTCTGGAAGCAAAAATGAAAATTTTGATTACAACAAAAAGAAAAAGGTTAACAATGATGATTTTTTTTTGTATTTGACATCAAAATCCTTTAATCCAGCTTCAGGCATTTAATTTTAATGCATATATGTTATAAAAATAATTTATCACATATAAATTTGAGCTTTTATTTCACATCTTGGATTTTGGATCATGCAAACTTGACAGGTTGAATTTGACAGTATACCCTCAGGTTTGGGTTCGTGCTGTGACTGGTTGTGGATGGTTTTTAGCTGGAGTTGTAGGGATGGCAGAAGGAATATCATCTCTGTATCGTGACTGTAGGCCTGGACCTTCCTGATCCGCCGCGACTCCAGGGCATCTTCTTCATGAAGCATCTGAGGGAAGCAGTCCAGTCCTGAAAATTACACAATTAACATGTAACTATAATGATAAATCTGGCACAGAGGTATAGTTTTTAACCAGAGAGATTGTGACTGAAGAAATTGTGACTTTAATTTCATTAGATATATACACTCATGTGTGTGGGTATTGCTATATAAATGTACTTTTAATGCAAGTACGACTGTGGAAGAACATCATGAGACTGTAACACCACCTAGGATCTAGCCTTTAAATTATTTGCCCTACCTTTGATGTCAGATGTGGCCAGTGTGTAGTGGAACCACTCCTGGACACTGGTGAAAGAGGGAGGCATAGAGTGGCCCCGACTCAGCATACAGATGTAGGCCATGTGCTGCTCCTTGGTATGCTGTGTCAGGTCATGTCCAATGTAGAAGTTCAGGTTCTGGATTACATGAATTCCTGAATAAAAAATTAACATATCCATGCTAGTAAATACACATAGTGTGAAATACATGTATTGTAAATCAAATCAAATAGTTTCATGGGGTAAAATTTATGTGGTTAAAGAAAATTAAATAATATTCCTTTTTTTGCTGTGCTCTAAACTTTTGAGAAACATTTTTCTTGCCTTTTTGAATCGGTTTTTAAAACAATAGAATCCAAGCTTAGCCTGTTGATTTTCAGAGGCCTGTTCAACAGAGTGAGTGCTCATGAACAATTCTGTTGAAGGTATAAGGAACTTTTGCAAGTGCTTGCAATCATTTGCTCTGTTGAACTTCCTCTAAGAGATACTTTGACTTACCTCCTTCAGGTAGCTGTTGAGACTCAGTGGCAAATATTATATAGGGCTCATGCATTGTAAATAAAGCCCAGGACTTGGCTTTGAAATTCATCCCATGGAAACAGGCCAAGGTCAGGTTTTTGCCTTTCAAGGTCATGTTCCCTCCAAGAATGGTACCCTCCTTTGGTATCATGCTGGGCAGCATAGAAAATCGACAGCCCACCACCAGTTCTAGGGCCCTCTGCCAGTGTCTGTGGTGACGAATGTCCCATATACCTGAAAGAGGGGTATTCATTAAAAGTACATGAAAATGTATGTCAATATTGACAAGTTAAACAGTTCTACACTTAAAAAAATTCTAATTTTTTTTGATAAACTACAAAAAAAAAAAAAAAAAAAAAAAATCAAGAAAAGATGCAAATACTTTTTTGTGAAAGAGATGAAATGTTTTTCCAAAATACAGTACATTCAATTTGTGCTATCTTGAACTCTATGTGGCTGAGAAAAATCTTCAGAATATCCAAGAATGAGATATTGAGGTTAAATTACATAAAGAATAAATAGTTGGAACTTCCAAATAACGCAGACATATCCAGTGAGATACCAGTGTTAGAATTACCAAAGTTCATTGAGAACTGTAATATGACCATTTGGCAAACAGCACAAAAACCTTTTTACTAAGGCTCTAAAAAAATATTATCTTGGTTCTCAGGCCCTAGCTCCCTCATCTCTTTTAAGGGTGCCTCATTGACCCTTTTTATTGCTAAATCAATAACATAAAAACAACAAATCACCTCCCTCATCATTTTCTTAGGTTTTGTACAATGTAAAAAGCTGCCTCATCAGTTTTGGGGGCAATAAAAAGTGAAAAAAAAATGCCTCCCTCCCTCATCATATTTCTTGAAAAAAGGCCTGAGAACCAAGGAATTAATTTTACATGGCCTAAATAATACAATAAATGATCTTACAATCAACATCGTCAGACATTTTTCTGCGTTCACTTCCTCTCCTGACTCCTGGCTTGGGGCCGAGAGCAATCAATACCCGTCTGCTACTGGTGAATTGGTTCATGAAGAACTCTTCTATTTTGGAGACCATTTTAATGATATCTGGAGTGGTGGAGCGAGAAATCATCATGTGGAACTGTTCCCAGTGGAGGTCACCATGGGCAAACAGGATAGCAGGCCTAAATACAAAGCAAAACAGGTCATCAATCATTTAAATGTAGTTTATTCTACTGTGACAAATATATTAATGATCAATTGTGAACTTTTTCTTTTTAAGAGGTTCACATAAATTTCTTTCAAATTCTTTACTTTTCCTTTACATTTAAGATGCACATACATGTACAAATCCATTTCAATATTCAATTTAGTCAACTTCTACTAGACAATGTAAACTTAAAATTAAACATACACCATACAGGTTACATATTAATAATTGTTATACCCTTATGAATATCATTCTATATATTTATTACTAATAAAAGGTCCAACAAAAGAACTGTTAATTACTGCGGTCTAACAATTTCACTATGGACCGGTCTTACATAAGAATTGTTAGACCGCAACGTCACTCGTCTGTTACGTCACAAGTAATATTAATCATCGTTCAATATCGGCGACGCGAAAATAGCCGAAGTTAAGAGCTACAAGAGTTATTGCTAACAGCACGGTTAGGAAGAAGGGAAGAGTATGTTTTGTGATGAATAATTTTTGTGATACAATAGACATATAATTGATTTTGTTCTTTCTCGGCTTGATGTTTTCAATTTACTAAAGAAGCCATAATTTTCCATAAAAATAATTGATTATATAGCGTGTATTGAATAAATTGATCAGTTTTAAGTGAGCAGTGAAGGGTATAACAAAACAATTAGCAACATTGATTTGTTACCTGAAGGTGAAAATGTTGCCCTTGGCCTGCGGCCTCGGGCAACATTTTCACCTTCAGGTCCAACAAATCATATGTTGCCCTCATACCCAGTCAATAACTGTATAATAAAATCTTTTTCATATTTTCATAAATGTAAGTTTATCCAAGGTATCTAAATACAGAGTTGTTTTTACCCCCTTAGTTATTTCATTCCGCAGAATGGTGTACCTTGTAGTTGCCAATGGAGTGTCACTTGTTAGTTTATCCTGGACCAGCCATTCATCCTTCAGAGCGATCCTGAACTCATTGAGTCGAGCCATCAGCACACTCGAGCCCATGTAATCCATACGACACTCAATTGTGTACAGCGAGACCCCCATACTGTGTAAGGGTTGCTTCCCTTGTTCTGGATCTTCATTCACTTCCACTGGTTAGAAAAACATTTTATACATGTTTTTATCTTAAAGTTTACATTTTGCAAGGTGTTTCAAAATAACTTCACTGTCATACAAATACTGGTACATGTATTATACAGAAATGAGAAAACATTAATACATGCAAGATGAACATATTAGAAAACAATTATTTTTTAATCTTTCCATTTGAATAATCATCAATTAAATGCTTACTAAATATCTTTAAAAAAACTGTCATGTATTGTCAATAAAATGTCATACACATAATTTACAGATTTACCAAATAGGTTAAGGTCGTTGAGGTCAATGGTCCCTCCCACCACCCCTCCCCGGGAGTCAAAGTGGGAGTTTCCTGTCCCGGCCGTGATCTTCAGGTCGCGATGGCCATTACTATGAATAGACAGACTCCCCTGGCTCTTTATTTCCTGTGTGGTCCACCTGAAAGATGGGGTTGATTGTTAACTTTATTCAAATGTTCTGAATATTTATGGTATTTTTTTCTTCATATTCTCATATAAAGTATTGTGTGATATAAATTATACATTTCCTAAAAATCTGTATTAAAGAAAACACAGACTGGAGTATTCATAGATTTGACAGCTAACCTTATATGGTTAAGAAAAAGAACTACCAAGATAACTGCCCTTTTGTTGAGAATATGGATTAACTTCTACAACAATATATTTTTTGCATTCATTAAATAAATAAGTTCAGTTCCCTCTTTATGTCTTACACAGTGTTTCCCATGACATTACTCATGTTGACATGTAAATCCAACTTGGCCAGATTGACAGCAAAGAGCACCAAGGTTTCCCAGGAAACAGATTTTGGAGTCACATGACTGCTGCTATGGTGACTTTTCTGTCTCCCTGTTTCTGATTGGTGGAGAAGAGATTTGTGTTTCCCAGGAGTCTTTGCTGTTGAGCCTGGAGTTCCTGTGTGGGGATGAGTGAAGAAATCCTGGGACATCAAATCAGTGGGGGACTGTGGCATGGAGGCTGAAATTTAAGACAAGAGATTGTTGTTTTTAGACACTGAAAACTATTAGTCGAGAGGATGCAAAAGAGTACCCAAACCTGTAAAATCACTTATTTTTTTGTTCTCTTTGTGTGGTTTGAGGAAAAAAATCTACTTGGTACATGGTACCCGGTAATTTAATATCATGGGTAATTTAGAAACAATGCCAAATGTGAACATTTCAAGGAGGACAAGAAGTTAACAAGTTTAAGGGATTATTCATACTATGAAAACACAAAAAATGAACCCCAAATGTTGGTGATTTCACAGTAAACATGTAAACCTTATAAAATTTATAATAACCACTTACATCAGAACTAATTTATTTTATGAAAATATAACTGACATATACGTCAAAGTATATCTTTAAGTATCCAAATTTAATTAAAAAAGAAATTAAAAAATTATGACATGCATGTAATTTAAAAAATAAACATTGAGAATCATTTCTTAAATCCAATTTTTGAGCATTTAAAGATGATAATGATGCATTATTAATATTTTTTTTTCTGGTGATCCCTGAAAAGTTTAAATGAAAATGAAATCCCAAATTTCATAAATTATTTTTGCTATAAACAAGAAACTCTGACTGATGCTGATATATTCTTATTGCAACTGTATTCATATGATACTTTGAAAAAATTATGCTACATGCATTTGAAACTTTCTAAGTCAACTTCATATAAGAAATATGAACTTTAAGCATATTTTAAGAAATTTTCTTTAAATTTGCAAATTCCTAGAATTCATGTGCCTTATAACTATATAGGCTGCTATTAAGAAAGTTTTTTTAACAATATTGAACAATTTAAAAAAAAAACATAGGTTCTAAATCTTTTATAATCTAACCAAGTGACAAACCCTTACATTGTAATTCAAATAAAGATGATAATTAGGCATTATTAATAATTTTTTTTTCTAGTGATCCCTGAAAAGTTGATGTCTTATTTAGGCCAGTTTAAGAGAATCTAAATTTTGATTCAGTCATAAAATTAATATTGAATTATACAGTTTTTTTTTTTAAAAACAAACATTCACTTTACCAAATGTCAATGACACCCAACCTGTTCTGACAAATTTGCTGTCGATCTGTTGTTTGAGGTCGTTGCTGAGCTGAACTTTGATCTTGTCCCCCGAGGAGCTGCTACGGTGGTGACCGGGGATCACAACACTCAGGTTGTTGGACTGGGAGAGGGAGGGGGAGGAGGTAAAGAGTTTAGAGACGGGGCCCCTCACGGGACTGTCCCCCTGGGAACTTCCGGTGGAGGCCGAATCGGAGTCTGTAAAGCACCACACAACAGCAAAGCTATACACAGAAGCTCAAAGGTGTACAATTCCTGGCCAGGCTTGATTAAACTAATACAAGACGGCAGTCAGAAATAAAGGGATATATTCAAGAAAGTTGAAAAAATTTTTTTGGAGCTTGATGTATGAAAGATTAGGAAAGCTAAGAATACTTCTCTGTACTATATTACACATCACAATATCATATTTTACTTAAAAAAGAATATTAAAGCAATCAGTTTATGTTTGATTTTTTTCTTACTTTACGATTTTTCGACTTTCATTAAAAGAAATATCGAAAGAAGGTGTACTTGACACTAAAATCAAGATTGAAATCAGCATTTATAACATAAAAGGGAGAGGGGAGGTACATCATTTACTAGACTATATCTAAACTATTAGATTTATGCATAAGTCATAGCCCACTTCAACACTTAGAATTTGTTACTATGTTAATACCTATTACATGTACCAGGAAATGTACACATACATGTATTAAAGGAAAACACTGCTTTCCAAAACTTAAATTCCACAGAGGTAAATAGAAATTAAATTTATAAATGAAATTGAATGTACAACTTCTCATGCACAAAAAGAATAAATTTTATACTATTTTATTAAGTTTGATGTGAAATAAACATTATGCAACAAGCAAATGATCTATAGATTCTAGCAATTAAAAAACCAATTTGCATAATTTAATGTGGCAATGAAATTAAACAGAAAAGGAACGTACAACTCCCACTTCACAACAAAACATTCCTAACTCACCATCATCAGCTATATGGATGTAACTTTCATCTCCCAGAAACATACGCCTGGCCAGACTTCTGTTGTACCAGGCTTTAGGGAAGGAGAGAATTTCTGACAATCGTCTCATGTCGTACTTAAATGCTGCAGAGCCAATATCACAGATAGCTACAAAAAGGAGCTTAAATTAAAACACTTCTAAAACCAAGATTCATAATCAAAAGCAAAATTCAATCACATAAAATGCTGTTTTGTATTCACAAATGAAAAATATGCAAGAATTTTGCAAATTTCTTTCACTTGCATGTTTTATTAATTAGCTGCTTCCATTTTATATTAATTTTATTGATTGTAATTTTATGCTGAATATTCCCATATAAAATTAATTGTCACAGTTGTAGATGAATTCCAACTTATATTTGCAAAAAGAAGTTGTCAAGAACAACAGTTTTGTTAACACTGGTGCATTATTTTTTAAATCAACAAGTCTATGCAAGAACAAACAGTTGTGAAAATTGACTGGATGATCAGTTTTTATATGTTACAATGATGACCAGCTCCCCACCTGAGAACCTGACTATGTTAGACTTGGCTTCTTTGTCCAGGGCTCGTAGTTCTATTTTACGACTTCTCGAGATGTTAATTTTTACAAACTCCACATTGAGACTGAGCATGTCTCGTCTCGTTTGTTCTGACCAAGCCGGCTCATGTTCCTGAATGCTTCCTTTTAAAGACAAAAATGAAGAGAAAGAAATTAGTTACTTTGTATATGGAAATGTTGCCAATCTCAAAAGAATTTCTTTGAGAGAAGCAGAAGTAAAATTCCGAGTTACACATGTATGTGTACATGAAAATGGACAATGATTAACAAACTGTTATACATTTCCGTTTTAAAGAATTTTACCAAATTAATCATTGTTACTCATATTCATAATAAAAAATCATTTTAATATTAACAAGTAAAGACCTCAGGAATATTCAACAGTCCCTACCTAGGTTATATCCAGTGGATGTGTTTAATTTCCTCTGGACCCCTCCTCCGTAAGGGTGGAATATATACAGGGAGAAATCTGACATGGCTCCAGTGAAGCTCAATCCCCCCACTGACAGTGAGCCTCCATCAGCAGACGAGTTTGTACTGCTGGCCCGGGGGCGAGTATCACCAAGGAGACGGGACCCACTCAGGTTCCTCTCTCTCAGTTTGGATGCTGAAGTATAGTATGTGTATGACTGTTTATATTTAGCAGTGTTTAAAAGAAATTGGTTATTACAAAGTCTATATGCCAATTTGAGAAAAAGATAGTTAGTGCACATCCAACACCTAAAATTTTAACCTCACAGAAAATATATATACATTGGGCACAAGCTGTAACAGGCTGGGAAAAATGTTGGCGGTTGATATCCTCAGTCCAATCTACAGTCAATTCTCAAATTATCGCCATTCGATTCATCGCCATTTTCGCAATACCGCCATGATTTCACAAGAACGTTTTTCTTGCTATATAAAATTCTCTTTATAACGCCAAATTCGCATACTGCCATCCGCCACCCTGTTTTCACAACAAACGTCCATTTTTAACACACCACAGGTGCATGTGGTAAGTGAAGCGTGGCTAATTGGTTGACGCTATCCCTGTTAATTGAAAAGCATGCAAGGCAGACAAGGTACATGCAATTAAAGTAATTAAACAAGAATTAAATAAACAGTAGTTTTAACATGAACTGTTAACATGAAATGTTATAATAAATTTGTTTTCTGTTGAATAAAAATCATTTAGTCACCATGCCCATGGTCACAGCTTCGCCAAGAAAGCAAAGTACGCCGATAACGATATTATTTTGATGATCTCTGCATTAAAGAATGCAAAGTTTGCTGAAAAAATAATTATACGGTATAAATTGTGAACGTTTCATTAACAGTGATGCCATAAACAATGAATTATTCAAGAATTCAGTGTATCGGCAATATATTACGACGATCGAGGACGTGCGGATTTACATGCATACACATGTACTTGTCTTTATTTCATAACTACACATTTTGTTGTAGCGAAATTGTTCATTAAAAAATTTATTTGAAGTATTTTCAATCAGAAATATGTTTTATATACATGTACAGGTAATAATAAGAACAGAAACGCTAAATAGTATTTGTAAGAACGGTAACTCAACTTCTTGTTTTCTAAAAGATGGGAAATTCAATTCATCGCCAAATTCGTTATACCGCCATGATTTCTAAATTACGAAAGGTGGCAGTTTATCGAGAATTAATTGTAGATTACCACTAACAGTAGAAAATAGCAATAACAGATCTCTGACAGTTACCTTTAGATTTCAGAGGGGGTGTCCCCTCGGCCAGTGAGGTATCAATATCTGTACTCTTGGTGGAGAACACAGTCTCTAGAGCTGGGACCTTCAGTAGACACTCCACACGCGAACTTGGCAGACAGTTAAAGCGGATAATTGAGGGCTCCACGCGGATAAAAACCACCACATCCACAGGGAACGATGTCTGGGTCACCATGTTACCCAGGGAGCTGTAAGAGGTCTCCATGTCTTCAGGATCCTCTGTTGAATGAACAACATTTAATGTACACTCCATAATATTGTAAAGAGTTTAATTTTGGTACCTAGAACACTGATATCTAGATAGCATGGAAATATAAAAGTGAGTATGAAGTCACTACAGCACTTTTTTTTTGTGACATTATACTTACAGATACATGTAAGATTTTTTTTTTTCCCTGGCCAAATCTAGGTTTGTTTTTAGCATTACATTTTTGTCAAACTGATGTTCTGTTCCATTTTGAAATATAAAAGAGAAAAAAATCATTTCTTGTACATCTTAATGTTTAACATTCAGACCTTTTTTATTCTGTTGCAGCATGGTGATGCCTATGGGAATTGGCTCCAAAGCTTGTTCCAGGAAATCCAAAATACATGGACTGATCACCATTTCCTGAACAGAAATACACAAAACTTACACAGTTTACAGTCATGTAATTAATTCAATGGCAGACAATCACACATCATGATTTTTTTGTTTTATTTTTTAAAGAGGCTGCAAACCAGAAAAATAAATACATAAAATTTTAAAAGAAACTATCAAATGGAGTGGGGAAATAAAAAAAAAAAAAAGTATTGTTTTCTCTATTAAATACAGTGTAGTGTTTGAGTGTGAAACTAACTTTCCCTGTTGGTTGCCAAGACTTCAGGATAAAAGTAAGAAATTCAGTAAGAATATACATGTATAAAGAAATCAAAATTAAAGTGAAATAAGTTTGAAAAACTGGTACATGAAATGCTAAATATTTAAATAAACTAGTTCTGGAATTCCATATAATGTTCAAATTGCATTTGTGTCCTTTCTTCAAAATATTCTGAATGACCAATCAAATAACAGATAGTCCTGATCTCTGGTTAAAAAATAAAATAGTACATACAAGAAATTAAAAAATTGGAGCAATTTCTGGAGTATAGAGCAAGGGAATTCTGGTTTTTGTCTCTAATTATTCTACAAACCTTCGTTTTCAAATCAGTTCTCTGTAATATTATCAGTAAAATTAAAAAAAAAAAAAAGCAAATGTTTCATGTAAAAATATTTGAAATATTAGTAGGTTGAATTTCTTTATTGTATGGTTAGTAATGAAAAATACTGCATGGGCTTCAGATCACTTCCAGGAAATTTGAATATCAGATACCAATGATTGTATCTGAACATGCATGTAGTTTTCAATAAGCATTAGGTGTACCTGCATCAATATGCATTAAATAAGATATATACAGTACATGTATATAGGAATATAATTATACATGTACATGTACATTTCAATATGCTGAGATCAGAAGCAATAAAAAAAAGTCAAAAAACTTTTTTCATATTTATGTTTTAACTAATAGCTATTTATGTGATTTTTAACAAAATCACATTTGGTCACAATATGCAGTACATATAATACAAAATCAGATCTTACCTCTGGCAATGACTGCAGTGATAACCAGGCGTACAGATTAGCTTTCTTCACCCCAGACTTCTTAGACGACATGGAGGATGTACTCTCTCTAGATTCGAATGACTCCAAAGTGAAATGGGGCTGAGGACGAGAGGGGCTCTTTACAGTGGGTGGTGGGGGGCTGGACCTCCTTCTCAACATCACCTCCTCCTGCTCCTCATCTATGGTAACGGTCACCGTGGGGTAGTGGGGAGGGGGCCAGGATTTCTGACGCGAGTCCTGGTCCAATGGGCTGGGTTCAGGGGAGGGTGATTTTCTCTTTCCTACTTCCTCCGACTCAAACGAGTCAACAGATGATTTAGACTTAAGGTCTGAGTCACAGCTGTGCGTTTTGGAATTGTAATGTACCTATAAAAGAAAGTTTGGAATTGAAGGAAGCTCTGTGCTTGCTTCAACTTACATGAACTTTTAAGCATATAAAAATTCTTCCCAATCTGAAAATATAAACTTTCTGTAAGTGTTGATTCTGCCCCCCCCATCCCCCTTAAAGATCACCATGAGCCTTACTTTGAGATCGATGCTGGGTAAGAAGAAGACTGTGTCCTCTATCTGCTGACCGTGCTGGGTGGCCTGAGGCTTCTTCCCGGGGGCTGACATGGGGGTGGAGGTCATCTTCTTCTTAGATGTCGGGGACAACATGGGGTCAGGGGTCTTCTCTCTCTTTTGTTGTCTTTGAAATTTAATTTAAAAACAAGTAAGACATACAATTTTATAGCAACTCAGTCTTGCTAAATATAGCAATATAGCTAAATACAATAAATTATATTATAGAAACTCAGTCTTCCTAAATATTGCTAAGTCACAGCAATGATACTTTTTGTCAACCCAAATACTTTTGTAATATTTAAAGAAAAAATTCCTGCCTTCGAAGTTATTTTGCTTTTTTGTTCTCTAGATTTCAGTACAACAATCTTACTTTTTAGTACTATCCTCTTCTTTGACTTCCTTGGGATGCAGCACACATTTCCCATTGTCAATGAAAACTTTGACATCCAGTTCAAAGTCGATATTGGGTTCTGGAGCTGTGTTAGACTTTGATGATGACCCCCCACTCCCCAGACTGGGGGTCAGGGTGTTCTGTTTACTGGAAAAATCCAAACTCTCCACAGAATTTGACAATGTCCTAAATAAAGGAAACAAAGCATTTCAGAAGCTGTAGAATGCGCAAATAATGTACTTAGTAATTGTGCAAATTTTCATTTCTTTTAAACATGATTACATGTATACTATTTTATTATGTTCTGTGTAACATTTTAAAAATCTTATTGCTTTATCTCTCACAAATGAGATGAAATGAGGTCAAAGTTTGCAAGTTGGCTTCAACAAATACTTGAAAAGGTCAGAGGCTCTAGATCAAGGTCATTAAGAAATTATTCAACGCTGAAGAAATAGTAATCAAAAGTGAAAACATCATAGTAAGTAGCCAATACACAAATTTTACTTACTTTTCCCCGTCTTCAAACACGACATCTCTAGTGAGGGTGCCCTTGCCCTCCTGGCCTGAGGAGGACTGAGATGAGGACTCTGAGGATAATGACGAGGAGTCGTCGTATCCGAGGTCCCATTTCTGTGACCGCTCATCTAACATAGGACTGTTAGAGTACTGGGAGTAGGGCTGGGACGACTTAGACAACATGGAATCTGGAGTCCTGAAATCATTATTACTGGTTTATTTTATGTGACTGTCTTTGACTTCCCCACAGGTGCATCTGCATGGGTACATACTATAATTTTCTCTGTTATGTACATGACTGTACAATTACAATGTTTATTACTTTTTCTCTATAAAGAAAGATCATGTTATGTATAGATTTTTATTTTTCATACAAGATTTATTTCAGGAATACTCCTAAGACCCTCCTACTTACTCTGGGGGTGAGTATGCCACTGAGGATCCAAACTGGACTTTACTAGGGAGGGTCCTGGTCCCCTCCCAAGCACTATTTCTGTTGTACATGTCTCGGTTCTGAGAGATGATCTTCTCATAATCAAAAGCTCTAAAATGGTAACCAAATTTCATCATTGTATCAGGTTTCAAATTTATGTGTGAAAAAAACATGTACATGTATCTCTGAATCAGTGGTATTTCAATACTTCATATACATTGTATCTATGAATACAGTATCTGAACGCAGAAGACGATGTTTTATTTGTTATACCCTTTTCTTTCCATTCTGGAGCCTCCGTAAGACTTAGATCTGATGTGAGTTGGTCTATTTCCTATACCTAGCTGATCCTTCAGAGCTGAGGCCTGTTTAATGAAATTTTGTACATGCATACAAAAACAGAGGAAAAATTTTGAATTCATATTCATTACACATTAAGGATTTCAACAAGTAAATGTAATCTGAGTGTACATATTCAAGAAATGAAAGTCTATACTCACCCTACTTTCACTTTGTTTCTTGAGTTTATTCAGCATCTCCCTTTTAAAATCCTGGAACACTATGGCTTTCAGCTCCTCCAATTTTCTTGACTCTACCTCAATAGTTTGTAAACTGGCTCCTAGTTGACTGTAAACAATGGAAAATATTAAATTAAATGATAAACATTTAATGATTTTCTATGTAATGCACATGACTGTATAGTATCTCAAAATCCCTGGTTAAGATGCAAAATAAAGAAAACGTGATTGTATAGTTATATACTCTACACTTTAAAGGTATTATTATACAATGCACATGTATATTCAATACTTTGTCTCTTATAATTTTTGAGTTAGAACCACAGGGAGATTAGCGATAAATATTTTAGCCTTGTAAAGGAGACTGGAAATAATTGGTCTCACTTGAGATCCTGGACGACTCTGGCTTGCTCGTTCATCTCCTTCTCTATGAGCCGGAATCTCAGTTTGGGGTCCATAGTCGTGTCGTAGACGTAAGCTGGCAGTGTGTCCATCATCTGACTGGGCCTTCTAATGGACGCCATCGACTGAAATTAACAACCAATCATGTGTCAGAAAATAATTCAAACTATAAATACGTGTTAACGGTATCAGATATTTTTTAAATTCATTTTTTTCATCACCATTCACATGTAGCAAAAATATCCTAATGAGGCCACCTTTAAAAAAATGCTTGATTGATCGCTCCTGACCAAGAAGTTAAAATAGCCAAACTAAAAGTTTTTTTAACCTCCAGGAGACTATTTTTTATTCATTTCGGAAAACAGATTTTCAGCTGACCTAGGAGAGGGCAAACAAGTATTATTCTAAAGTTGGCCTAAAATACATGTAAACATTCTTGAGCAGGGGCCCGTTTTACAAAAGAATTTACGACTAAGACCAACATTTACTTCCGCTTGTAACTTTCTAATTTACTTAAATTTGAAAATGGCTTCAATGTTTTTAAAAGGAATCTAGAAAGATGTTTAAAAGCTAGCAATTTTTAAGAGAATAATTAATTTCGAAAAATTCTACAATCAACTAAAGTTTTGGTCTTAGTCATAAGTTCTTTTGTAAAACAGCCCCAGAGTTTCTCTTAATGATTTTATCATTAAGCTAGACTCACAACCTCAGAAGGACTGTTTGGAGAGAAAACGTGATCTGACCGGGCATCCACTTCATCATCTGACAACTCTTCATCTGATTCGCCTGCCAGGGCGGTCAGGGTTTTACCTAACGCCGACAGACATTTACCAACGTTGGTGTTTAGGTGTACTGCTATACCCTGCATTTCCCATCTCACATTCAGGATCCATTTAGCATTACTGTTAGGATCTAAGGGCAAAATATTAAAATTAATGTTGAATTGTTACAGTTGTTATACCTATATAAAACTAACTATGTATTAAACTTGAAATATAATGATAATCTACACTTTTGAATATTATTTTCAGTATTCCAAATTAAACTGCTATGTGACAATAAATAAATTCAATCTTAGCTATGCCTACCACCAGAGCAGAGCACTATCTACATTGTATACCTGTAGTTTGCTTGCTGATGGTCCTGGAGCATACTTCATACGTCCCCTCTGGTACCACACAGGCATTCATTACAGGGCTCTCACAGGGGTCAGGCTTCCAATCATCCCAGGACGTCTCAAAATCATCCGCAAATCTCAGGCAGAATTCTGGAAATTATCTCAGTATTATCATTACACTGACACCTAACTGCATTCTAGAAGGCTATACAATCATTTAATATTTCTAATCTAGTTGTTTATGACTGCATATTTTCCTGAAAGTTAGAACATTTCAATTTAAACTGCATTTGTTTATCATAAAATCCCTCCTGACCTTGAAATCTGCCCTTGCTGACCAGTGACCCTGAGGAACACGCTGAGATCTGAGTTCCCTTGATGGTCAATACTAAGGCTGACCCCGGCTCATTGTCAACAAAAACTGTCTGTGGGGTGGCAGGGTACAACTGAAAACACAAATAAATGTTGACACATGAAAACATATACAGGTTTTAGATTATCAAAACATGAACATGATGAACATGTACATATACGAGGGGTGTTAGAAAAGTTCGCGGACAAGTTCTATTGTAAGCGCGCTATTTGCAGGAAACCAACGAAACTTGGCAGATAATAACTTGAGATATTTTGCAATAAATGTGCGAAGATTTGACTGTTTTCAATACTCCAATAAAAAAAATACAGCCTAATTATTATGAAAAGATACGCTTCACGGAGCATCTCATTTTTTTGAAAGTTTTCATTTTGTTCGCATTTTTTCAAATTGAATTAATGTACATATTTAGCGCATAAAAATGCACGATATTTTATAAATTTTATGAAAACAATTAAATTGATTTTTAAATGTGAAAGTCAAAAAAATTAACGTCAACATGAGCAGTCATAAAATTCTGTGTGCAGGCAGGAAAATCGCCGAAGGAGACCAAAATCTTCTTAGATGCTGCTGGTGATGGCCCACATTTCTAGGACAAAATGGCATCAGAGGTTTAATGACTGATATTTTCGACGATGATCGCACCGGAAGACCACAAGAAGTGAGTGATAATGTCAGAGAATCGGTACTTAGGGAGTTGAACAATGACAGGAGAGTCTCTGTGCGTGACATTGCAGACTTTAGTATTCCAACCATACACCAGATAATCAAAAAATCTGAACTTTCAGAAACTTTGTGCACGATGGGTGCCAAGATTGCTCTCTGTGGAGGCGGGTTTCGGCACACAGACGCCTGAAGGTGAGGCATTTCTGGGGCAAATAATCACTACCGATGAGACCTGGTTATACCACTTTGATCCAGAAACTAAGCAACAGTCCAGCATGTGGAAGAGAAAAGGGTCACCGCCACCTAAGAAAGCAAAGGTGACGAGATCCGCAGGAAAACACATGTTTATCATGTTTATGGACATGCAGGGGGTGATTTTAACTCATGCTGTACCCAGTGGGCAGACCGTCAACGCTTATTATTATTCGAAGGTATTTATTAATCGTTTATGATAAATTAGCTTTGAAAAAAGGATATGATCTTTTTTTTTATAAAAGTCGATGATAATTTAGTGAAACGTAATCAAATAATTTAATTATTTTCTAAATATTTCTGAGCAATTTTTAATTTGTTATGAACAATTTCAAAGAATTGGTTTCAAAATACATTACACAATTTCATTTGAAGGTTGTTCGGCGTGACCTGATTCAGGCCTTACGAAAGAGACGCCCAGAAGTTGCTGCTAATTTAAACTCGGTAATATTTCACCAAGACAATGCCCCCGCACACACTGCACAGTCAACCACTGGACATTGATTTACTGGATTTTAGCTCTTGCAGCACCCCCCATACAGACCTTGCGCCGATGGACTTTGCTTTATTTACCTAAAGGCACAACTTATCGATATGCTACAAAAGACATTCTACAAAAACTTGACAAATCGTGGTTTAAAGATACATTTCATAAATGGGTTAAAAGGCATGAAAAGTGCGTGGAACTGAATGGGATTTACTTTGAAAAAGAGTAACAAGTTTACTGTCAGTTGTTTGACGTCACATGACGTCGTAGAAATATCAAGAGGTGCTCCATGGATCTAGATCATGTAAAATAAAAATCGTTGTATATTTTGAAATTTTTATTGAATTCATCTGTTTTTTTGCATACTTATCATCAATTGATAGTCATTTAACAGAACATACGTTATTCTTTACAGAACACGATAGATTTTCCGTAATTCAATGTGTCCGCGAACTTTTCTAACACCCCTCGTACATGTATTTAGTTTTAAGATTAACCTGATTATAAATTTTATAGACTTTGTTAAATGTGAAAGTAAGACATGAAAAGTATCATTTTCAAAAGCAAAGAAAAAAGGAACCTGAGAGACAGAAGTAACAGGAACACAGATCCCCATATCATCGACGGTCAGCTGTAGGAAGAGTGTGCTGAGAGAGGCGGGGGACACAGCAGCCTTCACAGGAGGGATCCGGTCTATTACCTGTCTGGTGGCATTCAACACCTAACAGGGAAATACAAACACTTAGGTGTAGGGAGGGTTTGTATCAAACATTCTATTTAAAAGAGTTATTTATCAGGATTATAGTTTACCTCTCTAGAAATTTTAAAACATAGGATTTTTATGAAAACTAAGGGCTATTATTACCTCTGTATTTAGTGCCATTCTCTGTTCTGTCCAGTATTCATATGCATTCTTATAGTTCAACCAAACTAGAACAGCTGTGGAAAATAAAATAAAATCTCAAGTTATTTCCATTCAAATATGAAGTTATAAAAGGTACTGAATATTTTAAATGATAATTGATCACTATTGATGACGAGACTTCTTAATAGCCTGATACTTGTGTTGTAGACAGCTTACCTTTATCAAAAGCCAGTGGCTGGGCCAGTATGATGGGTCTCATCAGGGTGATAAGGAGAGCTTCCTGGTCCTGGGCCGCTCCAGGAATCAACTCGTCCTACAATCAGTGTACACTATATTGTAAAGAATCTACTGCAAAAACTTAGTATATACTAAAGATTTATTAATTCCTGGCTGGTGTACATGTACAAAATATCATGTACAAGAAGTCATTTCAAACTCTAGGACAAACTTCTATTTAATATAATATGGGTTTTGTCCCTTTTTAAAATTTTAGTCTATGTTAAATGAGAATAAAGTTTATGCATTCAGTGTATGTGCATTATAAAACTAATTTTTTTTTATCTTTCTACCTGTAAAGCATTTCTAATCCCAATTTTTGTCTTGAAGAATGCCATAGTCTGGAATTCAGGCTCAGCTTCTTCAAACATTGGGTTCTACAAAATTCAACAAATACAAAGTGAAAACAAGTCACACAATATCATTTTCAGTTAAAAATCATGGTAACTGTTACACACAGTGTGACATACAGCACAAAATCACATTTACATTGTATGCAAGTCTTTAGAACAATACATCCATAGAATTGTAAAAGATAATATTTTTGAAATTCTCATTTTTGCCTGTATGTATGAGATGGTGACTGACCTTGATAAGTTGTCCAAGTGCTAAGTTCAGGTTTACTTGAGCCTTGATGAACATCTTTTCATTAACTTTGTTTGCTGAAAAAAGTATCTCATATGAATCATCTGAAACAATATGATCACGGACAACACTGTAAATGATAAATAAATCTTTGAAGTAAATGTAATGTTTTATTAAAGCACTTTTATGTACTTTATGAACATGTATTTGAATCTCAGACATTTACCCTTCTGCGTCCTGTCCTCTGTAGCCATTAACACTCGGTTGGACACCTCCAGATCAACAGACCCCGTCTCTAACCTCACAGCACTGGAGGTGGGGGTGGTAGCTGTAATCTGAATTCCCTGGAGATAGGAGAGAAATATTCTGAATACAAGGGCAAAGACATACATGAACATATATTTGTTGAACTATTGGAAAATATTCTATAAACAGAAATCAAAGCTCTCTGAATTTTCCCTTGTTTGACTCAAAATATGAAACAGTGAAATTACTGACTTACTACATTAAAGAAATTCTCAGATTTGAGTATTAAATTATGCCGTCTCATTGCAGTGTAATATGACTGACCTTGAACCTGAAGCTGAAGGAGTAGAGGAGATCCTGGGTGGTCGGTTTCTCTTCCTCACCCCCCTCCCACAGGGGGACAGGCTGATCTGACCCCGACACCTTCTGTACCAACTCATTCACCTCCTTAAGGAGAAAGAAAACAAATAACAATTACAATAAAGATGAAGCACATAAAAATTATGGCAAATGCATATAATTTTCAACTTTACACCAACATCAAAATTAATTTTAGTATATCCATTATATTTTTTTTTACATTGAACATACATGACCATTGTGGATTTCAAATGACAATTATACAAATTTGTCAACATTTATATCCAACAGGTGTTCAGAACAATTTGTTCACTTTCAGTTGGTTGTCTCCAAGAACATGATTTTTTACACAATACCTTCATGAAAACTTTCTGCACAAAGACTAGATGATTGAGAAGATCGGTGGTCAGACTGTGTTCCAGCATGCCAATCTCTGCCACGGCGTGTAGGAAGTCTCCCTCCTTAAGGACCAGCCCCTCCCCTAGCTTATCTGAGGGGGACTCCATCTGCTTGTGGGGGCGGTAGTCAGCGTACATGTGTATGGGAGGTAACTCTATCTCTGCCTCGGAGGGAAGAGAGGTCTCAGTTGTCTGCACCTGAAAAAGGATATCAACAACATAAAACTTTGTATATTAGCAATAACATAATCTAATTTTATTAATGTAAGGTTAATACATGAGATCTAATTATCTATTTTGCATGTGAAAATATTAGCCTAAGGATAGATTATATGACATAAATTAAACAAATAATTATTATCTTATTGATTAATACTGCATCAATGAGTCTTTGCAATAGGAAAGAGTCATGGGTTAGTAGAGAAAGAGTTATATATTTTGACAAACAAAGAAGATGTACATGTATAACAATGTACAGTTTAAAGTGAACAGTTTCACTTGGGAGTCATGTATCAAAAAGCAATTCATAGTGCGCACAAGAAAACAGCGACTACAATTTACAACTGCATCAACAGAATAAATTATAATTATTCTTATATCACACCTAAATCACACTCCACTTAAACAAAAATCTAGTTAACAGTAAAATTTCATTACAGTGCCTTATCATTGGGGCTTTTCTATATCTTTATCTAATTTAAGCAAATTATTGTGTAAACATGTATTGATTCATGTATTTTGAAATGCTTTATACCGCAAACACTCTTTCCATGGTGACTGTCATATTAATTTTAAAATGCTTAGACTAGAGCAGTATAAAGCAAGCTTCTGTTCTTTTTGTTTCTTATTTTTTAAATTTGATTGAATGCATATGTTTGTTGTTGAATTAAAATTTCCTAAAACTTGGAAAAAATTTTCTAATTTTGTTTTTGGTTGGGAAAACAAAATTTCAATTCATCCTCTGTTTTTTATCTAATCATATGCTAAAATAAAGTTTAGATTTTATCACATTCTCTACTCTTAAACCCATTAGAAATCATTTAATCACACTGCCTGATTTTTTTTTTTAAAAAGACCAATTACAGATTGAATATACAGTGTATATGCAAGAAATGCAAAGAAGCAGCAAAGTGTCTTTCAAGAACTGAAAATATTGTGTCAGCCATACTTTTCACCAGATGTGATGTCACCAAGGTGATTGTACACTCTACCTACCTCTCGGATTAGATCGACGCGCTATAGACAGGATTAATATGGATGATTAATAAAGTAACACAAAGAAAAATTCACATAAAGCAACAATCATCAAAAATAATCTTCACAAAATCACTGATGATCATAACAAAGACATGGAAGACGAAAAAGGAGATAAAGACTGTCACAATGTTTATGATGAGGAAGGCGGCAGCCATGATGACAAACAAAAATTATAATAATGGAAACAATAACAGAGAGAACAATGATTCTGACAAATGTAGCTTTAAACATGAACTGGCAGACAATGCTCAGCCAAATAAATCAAGGATAGTACAATAAATATCACAAAGACCTCACCTTGGATTTAAAGCTGAGCTGGTGTTTCTGGAGATCCATTGTAAATCGGGATTTTTTGCCAGTCATTCCGCTCAAGGAAACTGGGCCAGTCTGTGATAGAATAATTAGGACTTTACTATAGTTATGACACTATTTTAGTGACCTTATAATTAAAGCTGACAACAGGTAACACATTCAATAATTACATCAAACTTTCAATATTTTTATCATAAAAAACCATCTTGTAGTATGAATAAAATTGTTATTTCTCTTTGAAATTTTGCTTAAGGGGACTTTTCAAATAATAAAGTTGAAATTGTACAATTTAAGCATAAAGAAGATGAAACTGTATCTTATATCTAAACTCACCTTGTGTTGAGCCTTGAGAGAGGGTAACAGAGAGGCCCCTGTGATGAGTCCTTGAAATATGGCCTTGACATGGATGTGGAGGAATTTAGGTCGATTGAGTTTTTCCCCCTCCTTTGGCGGGGCCTTGGGTTTACGGACAGGTTCACCGGTACAAGTCTCTGCACTGCTTACTTCCTGTACCGTCTCCAGATTACGACTAAAAACAAATTCCAATCCTTAACATTTTTATTGAATACCAATAACATTGAGGACATCAGGAGACAAAATTTGAACTTGTTTATACATAATGTACCTGTAATTTCAATTATGTTTTGCCTGAAATTATAATAGAATTCATAGGATGAGATTTCTTTATGAAAATTATATACTGTAAAAGCTAAGAACATTTTGTGAATTACATGGGAAAACAATTTCACACCATGCATAAAATGCCCTTAATACAAACCTTTTAATTAACCTTTTTCAATGCTCTAATTTTGTTATCCATTATGTACCTGCCTTTTTACACTAAATATTTTTTCAACCACTGAAAAGCCATCCGGACAATTAAAATATTACCTTGACCTAGACACGGGTCTTCTGAACTCTTGTAGTGTACTGGAGATCTGCTTGGAGCCTCTAGTCATCATGCCATGGAGGACGACGGGGTGCTGTGGGATATCTACCTCAATCAGTCCGACGGAAATCATAGCAGAGTTATGCTCCTTGCCTCTCCTCAGAATGGTGGTATGTAGAGCTTGGGTCTTATCAATATTAACAGTGACGACCGTCCTGTAATGACATTAAAACAGCTATAAACATATATACTGATCTCATTTTTAAAATTTCTAATTATATCATACAAGTCAAATAACTTGAATGTACATGTACATGTATGATAAGTTTTTATTTTAGGTTAACACAAATTTTCTTCCAAATAACTCTGTTAACTACATTTAATATATTAAACAATACATGTAGTTGGTCATTTGTTATGTATCAAAAGGATACAATAAGTATAAAACTCATAGTTAGAAGAAACTAATGGACACATACATTTATTACAAGATATAAATGTAGTACGTTGAAAATCTAACTCATGTGAATTCAATAGAGTTCACAAATTATATACAGTTACATGTATGTAAGTCACATTTACACTAGTCTGTAAAACAGTTTTACTTACAGTTTAGATTTGGGAATGTGCAGAGGTCTAAGTAGTTAACAACACATATTTCTGTTACATATAATTTGTTCTCAAGGAATTCAAAAATGTTCGCCAAAGAAGTTACATACAACATATACAAATTATAAAACTTAATCACAACTATCCATTGATATTTAAGAATGTTTCAACTTTGGATTCCATGCCTTTTATATTTATTTGTGTTTTCTTGAGAAAAAAATCATATTATATAGAAAAGTACTTGTAAAGTCTTCCTTCAATTTGTCATTATTATGTCTTATTGTAGTTTTTAAATACAGTTCTGACTCCCTTCACAACCCCATGTCATTACTTACTTCATTTCTGGGGGAATCCCCTCAAACAGCTGTACCAGGGTGTGTCCAATGTGAGCTGTGACGGAAGATTCTGAGGACTTCCTCTGGACAAAACCTACAATTTACATACAACTTATTAATAAATTAATTCCAAATTCATCTCAAATGACTCAACTTTTTAAAATCATTCAGTGCATATCATTTCATGCAAAACACCTAAACATGTTCCACACATCAAAGTTAGAATTTCTCAGATACTGATAAGGTTTGGTCCAGACTTATTTTAAAGTATTTTGATATTCAACATTTCAACATAAGCACTGCAAAATATAAACAGTGAGTGCTGTAATTTATACAAAAAATTTGAATGTAATCAATTTCTGATCTAGGTTAAATTTTGACAAAGAATTATTATTATCAATCCACAGTGTAAACCCACCCTTCACTTTTTCTCTGTATGTGCCACTGGCATGTACATTTTTCAGTTTGGCTTCCAGCTTCAGTCCACTCAGAACAGCCAGGATTTTGACTTCTTCTACTTTAGCAATGCCAAAAACTACCAAAGGAATTGTCTCCCCAACATAAATACCTGTGAATTCGAAATATCACAAAAGTATGAATAATTTCTCATTGAGTAAGAATGTGGCATGTTTGTACTGAGAGGGAATAAATAGAAATTCATATAAATGTGTACAGCAAAACTCGTTTAGTACGAACACGGATATTGCAAATTTACGGATATAGCGAAGTCATCTTGGATCCCCAGCTATATAAATTTAATGAATTTCTTATACAGTTATAACAAATTACGAATATAGCGAAGTAATTTCATAGGTCCCAGTGACTTCGTTATAACCGAGTTTCGCTGTACTTCAATACTGTTTAGTGGATAATTCACACAGTATATGAAATAGAACTTACTTTGTTTGAACCTGGCCTGAGTGATAGATTGCCTGGGTTTACTTGGTATACCAATGTTCTTCTCCTCATCATTTAGGTCCTCAATCTTAGTATTATTCCCAGTTTTACCCTCGTCTGATGTCACTTCCTGTGGTTCCTCCCCCTCCTCATGGACCTCAGCCTCTGATTCCTCCTCAATGACCGGTAACTTTGAGGATGGCTTCCTTTTTACTGTTTTGGGTTCTGGCATGGTGGAATACAGTTCTAGCAGATGATACAATGTCTTCCAGCATTTTGGAGTAGTGGCATGGATCTCATCTATAAAGGTTTTCTCTGTCACTGCTGGTGAGGATGTTTCCTCTATGTCTATTGTCACTGTCTCACTGAGGTTCAGGGACTGAGGAGGAGTGAGGACTCCAGTGGACTGACTCTCTGTCATTCCTCCTCCTACTCCTTCTGTCCCTCCTTGGGAGGACTTTTCCTCCCTTGGGGATTTTTCTGATTCAGATTTAGCAGTATCAAATTTAACAACAACAGGCTGTTTCTCACTTATTTCTGGTTTCCAAGTACTGGGAGTACTGGGAGTTACCTCTGTTGACATTGGACTGAGCCCCTCTGACATGTTAGAGGCCTGGGTGTCTGCACTAGAGCTAGAACCTTTAGATCCTTGCTTCCTGTGAGTTCTTGTCCATTCACCAGCAGAACTGCTCTGTTTTAGTTCATTACGAGTTTCCTCCACATTTTCAGCCATTGTTACAAACTGGTGGATAAGCCTCAACAGAGGCATATCCACATGTTGAGTCACTGAGTTACAGTTGATCATGAAGTTCACTTGTAAAGTTGTTGGTTTGGCTTCTAGCTTGTGCATGGCAAAATTCAACTGACAGTTTGGATCAAATGTCTCTCCTGATTCTTTATCAAAATCTATCACATCCTTCATCCCAACACTGACACAGAAGTCGTGACACATAAAGGCTGGCATCTCGTCCGTCAGGTTCAATAATTTTGTTCGATGTTTCTTACTTTTCCCTTTACCCCTTCTTTTTCCAGAATCAGAAATCTCAATTTTAAGGTATTTCAGCTTTCCCTCCAAAGACAGAACTCCACCAAATTTTTTCATCATGGCTGAGGGTCTGACACCTTCAACATGCAGACCAACACTTTGTAAAAATGGTTTGAAAAAGCTCTGTGCATCAGCCAGTTGCATGATGGATGTCAAAGAATTGAACTGTTGGTCTGTAAGATCCAGCTTACTATCGTCTTGACTCCAAGCACTACCAAAAGCATTGATCAGTGAATCATGCCTCTTCATTGCAGGATTTTCATCATAAGATTGCTGGAATTCATCGTCCCTTTGCATGGCCATCCAGTGGTACAAGTCCCTGTTTTTATCCTCTCTGTTCTTTAAAATAGATGCCTTTGGTAATTCTGCTTTCATTGGGGTAGCAGGTGGTGTTTCTTCTAAACTGGTCAAACTAGCTGCTGCTGAGTGGAAGCTGTAGGTACTTTCATTCCTAGCTATGTTGGGTGCCTGGAGGTTACCGCTAATCTTACTGAACAAGGTGGGCTTTCTGTCTGGTGAGTCAAAGAGACTAGTTGTTGGAGGTGTCCCCGAAGCAGATTGGTGAACCTTTCCCAGGATTTTCCGCCTTACTGAAGAATTCCTGCTCTCTGCCTCTGGCTGCTCCACCTGCTCATTTAAGCTGGGAATAGAGGTGGAATGATGAACCGATCTCTCCTCAGACAGAAGCAATGAAGCACGCTCATCCACTGTATCCATCTGCTCAGTGGTGCTCTCTAGTTCAACTCGCATGTCATCATCATCTCCATTCTCGGGCAGAGCAAACTTCACTGTGTAAGGTCGGACACTTTTCCTGTCTTTGAAGTTGATTTTGGACATCTGAGGCATGTACAGGAGGTTCTTCCATTGCCTGGTGAGGGCCAGGATGCCTTTCTGGATGGTGATGAGTTGGGGGATGGTGTCAGACACCACTGCCTCCTCCACGGGCTGTGTCCCCACCTTGTTGAGGTACCGTCGTAGTGCGGTCAGCAGCTGACATGAAGGCTCCTCCAGGAGAGTGGAGGCCAGAGTTGTCACTTTACTGTATTTGCTCTAAATGTCATAAAGAATGGATTGTTATAAATCAGATTTCAAAGAGATCTTCAGTTACTCAAATTTCATAAAAATTCTGCATTTCTTTTTTTTTTAATCTACAATTCAAGTATGTATTCCTTTAACAATAACAATGTGACTGAACTCATCCTTAGCAAATCCTTAGAATGAAAAACAATAACAATGTGACTGATCTCATTCTTAGCAAATCCTTAGAATGAAAATCCTCATAAACCTACTTTAATTGAATCACACAATAATAATCACATACCTTTTTGGGTAGTTTGATTCCTTCCACCTCCAGAGCGTTGGTCATTATACAGGCCACTACAGAACTGGTCCTGTGGGTGAGGGTCAGTATCATTGACCGGATCTCGGTCATCAAGCGGTCAGCTGGGTTCAACCAAGCATTAATGGCAGTGGTAGCAGTACTGAGCAGATTCCAGTCTAGTCTGGGATATGTACAGGAATTTTTTTTATTTTATTAAAAGATATGTACACAGCAAATAGGTCTCATATCACTTTCAAAAAATAAAAGTTTCAGATTAACTGACCAATTTCAATTTTAACAAAAACATTTGCTGCCAATTTCAGATGTGTTCATATAGATGAAATTAAAATGGAATAATTTTCATGTGATTCTCAACTATTCACAAAGGATTAATTTTACAGAAAAAATTTGCCAACTCTAATTCATATGAACATCTTTTTACTTACTTTGTAAAGTCGACTTTGCGTTTGATTGAGATGGGTGGTGGAGCAGCAAAGTTGAGCCAGATGGTACTGAGTTCTAGTATCCCACTGGAAGCATCCCCCTTCAGATCCTCATTTGTATGGGTGTCTCCAATACTGGAGCAACTGGATGGAATGGATACCCTGAATTACAAAAAACACACAATTGTTAGGATAACTATTATCAAATATGTGAATAATTGTCTGAAAGATAGTTTCAACTTCCTTGAAATCAAATGATGTAGACTCAATCATGTTTTGTACACGGACAAGTCAATTTTTTTTTATAAGAGGGATCATTGGAAATCTGTAATAATTATGATTATTTTATGTTTAACTTCAGCTACATGTAAAACACTGCATTGTTCATAATGAGAATACCATTTCTTTTTTTCAAAATTTGGAACAAATGATGTTAGAGCATTTAAAGACTGGTGCAAAACATCTCAAGAGTATAATGTGGGTCAAAAATCAAATGATCAGATCAGAAAAAATCTAACAAGTAGTTTGCATTCTACTTACATGTATTTGACTTATTAAACATTCAATGTAGAGATCCAAGTAGCCCAACTTCATGTAACAAAAATATGTACAACTTTTCCCAATTTTTATCACCATTGATGTCTTTCAAAAGATGCCATTATGAAACACTTACATGGAATCATATGAGTGAACAGAAGATGCGTCTGTGGCATCCTGCCTTTTGGGAGGCTCTCGCTTTGTGGGGGATTTTCCCTCCTTTCTATCCCCTAGATGCCAATTAATTTCTTGCTTTGTAGAGTTCTGAATATCTTCCAATTTCTTTGAAATATTGTCCATTTTCCTTTGAAAATCTGCATCAGTGATGTCTTTAAAGCCCAGTCTCCTAACAGCAGTAGCTTTAATGTCTTCTAAACCACATTCAAACATAATATACCCAATGCCTTTATCATGGATGTGATACGATTCTCTACTTTCCTGCCTCCGGAGTTTTGGAGGCCTTTTCTCTTCCTCAAAACTGCCCTGTTTGAAGAGTCTGGGTAGTGTTCCTCCTCTTCCCTCACTGTCTCTGCTTGTCTGTCTGCTAAATGAAGAGTGTCTGCTGGGCCTGGATTTTGGAGAATGGGCCACAGAATCTTTCCTGGCACTACTACTACGTCTTATCTTCATATATCCTGGAGCTCCCGTGATGGGGAATTCATCAAATTTAAACAGAACTTTTGACCGGTGCTCAGGGATAGCTGTCAAATGAATGTCATCCATGTAATTACTATGCTTCAGTAGTCTTTGTAACTGCAGATGAATTCTTGCTATCTTCAGTGTCCCAACATCCTCCTCTCGACAAACTTCCGTTAACTGTTTGTCCGCCTGTCTGTCTGTAAAATTCATCTCTGTTGAAGTTCGTCCTGGCCTCTTTTTGGGGGACATCTGTGGGTTGTTGACCTGAATGGAATCGGTCAGGGTTTTACAGGAGTGACTGTTGGACAGTAACTGACACTCCACGTTGTCTATACACAGGGCCAGGAGAGAGACACAGGTCAAATCATGGAGATTATCCAGAGCTGAGAAAGAGATGACCTCCTCAACTAATCCAGCTTGTAAAACACAAATGTTGATCTGAAAAAAGGACATAATGCATAATTATACAGACTGAAAAAAGAAATTTCTGTAAATACATGTACATGTATGTAAATCAAGGACAAACTGCTGGATTAGCTTTAAAAATATGTCACTGAATGAAAAATTAACCTAGCTATTAATAGACTTTTACATACAGGCAAATCCCAAATACGCGATTTCCTCTAACCTTGAACAAATGCAGTTACAATGTATATCTTGGAGATTATATAACCTTAGACATTTTCAGAGTTAATCATTTACTGTGAATTTTCGCCCCGTTTTATTTTCGCCTCTTTCACTCTTGTCACAAGTGGGCAAATTTTAAATGGGGGGAATTCAAAGAACACAGTCAGAACAAATTCTTAAACAGAACTGTGACTTGGTGAATTTAAAATGGGGGAAAATTGATAGCAGGTGAAAAAGGACAAAATTACATGGGGTGAAAATAACCCTGTATACAGTAGCTGCAGTACCTTGGACACAGTGAGCAGAGCCTGTATACTTGATGTCTTCATGTGCCCCTCCTGGTTGCGACTCTCGGTACTGAACTGTCTCTCTGGGACCTGCTTCTCTGTCCCGTCCTCAGCTGTCTCCTCCTTCTTCAGTCGATTCTGTCGCTTCAGACGCTCCAGACACTGGCTGTGTAGGCCATCAATGAGCGAGTTGGGATGAAGGGATTCTAGAGTTGGTGTTACAGCCTCAGCATATCTGATTTCACAGAAAAAAAAAATCTGTAAACTTAACTGGATACGGATTAATATCAGAAAAGAGAAATGGCACAATATGAACCATTACATGTTATACTCTACTTTTCTAAGAAGTCCATAGAGTTATTAAAGGCTGAACTATATTTGATTTTTTTATGATAATCGTATATGTACCTTGTGAAAGATTCTAGAAATAGTGGTGTGATAGTTATGTCCATTGAGCCATGAAGTTTGACCACTCCAGTTGTAATAGAGGCATTCTCCAAAAGGGTTTCCTCTGCCATCACTCCTGTAAAACACATTCAATATAAAATATTTGTGCATAAATATCAATTTACTTGATTTCATAGTACGTACTGTATCAATTATATATCAAATTTTCTTTACCATTTGGAACATTTCCATCTGTAGTTGTCCATGGATCAGGTGCATCAGGAATTGATTTTTCTTTTGTTGTCATCAGTCCTGTGGAGAATCCTTGTCTTATTCTTCTAAAATGTGGAAGGCAAGCAGGGCTATGTATGTACTGCTGAGACTGACTAACTGATGACAAGGAGTATGCTGAATGGTTGTGCTTCATCTCACCAGAGCCATGGATTGGCTGAGGAGCGGACCAATCCTTACAATCGTACTGAGTCAGGTGACCTGAGTAGCAGTTCATGAGTATTGGAGATTCTGTGATTGGTTTGTTCACTTGGCCATGTAAATCAACCATAGAGAAATTTTCCAAGATTTCTTGAGAATCTAATTCATCGGAAAAGTCACTCTGGTCAGTGGCAGCAGACTCAAAAGACAGTGTGGAGTCGGTTGTGGACCCACTTCGCTGTCTTTCCACCACAGATTGTTTGGATGGTTGGAAGATGACAGTTTCATTGGATGGATCATTGTCTACTGATGTTATGGTCTGATCCTGACTTGCAGTGGATAAGATGCTATTATCCATGCTACCTCCTGACATAACAGTGGTGTTCTCCAAATTATCTTCCTCAGCAGAGTAGTATCTCTCACTCTCTAGAGACACCACAGAATAGGCCTTCTCTTGCCTTAAACTCCTGGGTGAAGCCTTTGATAAATTAGATATTGATGTTCTAGAGGACTTGACGTCCTCAAAATCAACAGATAATTTCCTTCTTCCTTCAAGTGTTGGGGAACTTGCGACACTGGACATTTGTTTACCAAATCCCTCCTCCATGCTGCTCAGCCTTGACACTAGGCTACGAGTTTCAGACATGGGACTGGTGAGAGAATCTTGTGGAAATGTATCTGATCCAGGACTAACAGTCTTGTCAGAGAAGTCTTTCACTGAATCTACTTGATCTTTTGTCCCAGTATCACTAGTATGGTCCTGATCAGCCTTACTCATAGTAGGTACAGAGCCAGCTTGACTGAGGCTCAAAGAAGGATCTTCTATCACAGTTATATTAGTTCCTGGGGATTCTGGAGTGGTCAGAAGGTCACTCATATAACCTCTAGTGAAAGTGAAATTTTTATGAGGTGAAAGTTCCCCATTATTGGGCAGAACCTCAAACACAAGCTTGTCTCTGACTAATAAACTCTGTCCAAAACCTGGATCCTGCCCCAGCGGAGAAACCTGCAGGACTGCCCTGGAAGAGGGATCTTTGGATTTTCTATGACTGAAAAATCCCACACCATTTCTGTTACTTCCAAAGAACACACATCCTCCATGACACCCACATTTGCCCACGACAGTCGGTTGAACTTTCAGTTCACACACTGGCCACAGAAACCACAATCTTTTTGTTTTCTTGTCATGAATCCTTAGGAATTTGTCCTGAAGATCATGGAAATCTGGATTAGGTAGAGCCATAGCGGCCTCAGCATCTAGTGGTCCAAATATCAAACTCCCTGACTCCAGCCAAAGTTCTGGGTGGGATTCGTCAGTTTTGAGGACAGCAGAGGAGATGAACTGTCGCAGTGAGAAGTTTTCTATTCTCCCAGTAATGCCAGCTCTTGTGTTGGTACCATGTAAGTTACAAGTGGATAATTTCACTGTGCTGACCTACAAAACAAAAGCAATGTATGTATATGTAATACTTATTTAAGATTTACTTCATTCACCTTATATCTCGTACATTGTACAATATTATGTACATGTATTCATATGAATCATTTTTTAAATGCACTTCATAAGAGAAGCTTTTCATACAGTACTGTGAAATTTCACAAAACTGGAAAGAAATCCCACATTAACTAAGACAGTAAAAAAAAATCATTCTTAAACATGGACACTAATTCATGAAGTCTCTCCTTACAACTGACCTGGACATTTAGAGCTGTCCCAGTCTCTACCAGACAGAAGTTGATGGAGTCCAGGGACACTCTGACCATCTCGTATTTAATCTCCTCTGAGGTTGGACAAGGGAAGTTGTACTGGGGCAGCATTCGACACTGGGGCTGGGGTAGCATGTGTTGACAGAACTTGTAGGGGACAGATCTTTCCATGCAGTTCTCTGGATCTTCCACCAGCATGATAAATGTTTGTATAAACTCTATCAGGTTCTGAAGCTATGAAAGAGAGTGACAATTTTAAGGAATGAAGCACATGTATGCATCTCTGTCAATTTTTGTACCGGTTTGCTTCCATCTCATACCCACAAATTAAAATATAAAATTCAAAATCTTTTTTAATTCACTACCCTTAAAGAAACTGTCATGTACTTTTAAAGTGCCAAAAAATAACTTTATCCAATTTATATTTGCTGGAAAAAAAGTTACAAAGTTCATAAAAGATTCAAAAATTTTTGTTTTGATAAAAAGAAAAATTGATTTCATATGAAAAGACTAAGACAAAATGTACCTGAGGAGAAGTGAGTTTGCCTGTCAGGTCTCCTATAATGGCCTCCACTAACCAGCCATACTCCAGGGTCTCACTGTCCAGGGGCAGGCCCTCATGGGAAAACATAGCATGACCTCTGACCTGTAACCCTGATAACCCCAGGTGACCTTCATTTAAATGCTTTGCTCCATTTTCCCTCTGAAACAAAATGTTGCAGGTTAGCTTACTAACTGGTAACAGAGTAAATAGAGAGTCCTTTGAAAATACATGTATGTGTACCATATTTTGCAACTTGTTCAAATATTGTGAGTGTATTTAGCACATGTAATGCTGTAAATGTAAGAAGGTAACAACTGCAAATACAACTGGATAATAGAAATGCTACATTATGACCAAGCACTTTATATAACTTTTATGTACACTGAAGTTCATTTTGCTGACCTATAGAGCAAGAACTTGACTTGACAGGCTATGTTTTACCTGGAATGTGTCCTTGGCAATAAGAATTGCTGGAGACAGGAGAAGCTGTAGTTTTGTCTCTTTGTAAGCCTTGTCCATCTCAAAACAGAGTCTCTCCAACAAGATGCTCGGACAAGGCAAACCATCAACATTACAATTCTACAAAGATATAAAGATCACTTTTTTAAATTCTGAAATTTTACATGTTATTGATAAATTTTTAATGGGTCAAGGTAACATTTATTTCACTTGAATATGTATATATTAATAAAAAATATATATATCCATCAAAGATCCATTGCAATACAGAGAAAAGAGAGATAATTATAACATTCAATTTGGTGAAATTGTTATAAAAAAAAATTATGAAAATGATAACAAAAATAATTTCAAAATCATATATATGTACCTTCACCAAGTGTCCATGAATATCATGAATAGCCAGTGACACAGTGACAGCAAAGGGTCGGTAGTATCTCTCATCAAATGGCCCCTGTAAGTTACAGTCCTCCACAAACAGGGGGCCCACATTTCCCTGTCCCTCCTTCCCTGGGGTCTGGGAGCCATCCTCAAAATCTGTAAATTTCTGATCCTCCCCTAAATAATTTTCCTGCAAAACAACAAATACTAATATTATATGATATCAATTAAATGTTTTATTTCCCAAAAAAATTGTTTAATCTCAATATTAGTTAAATTATGATGACAATTTAAGTTATTTATGTCATATACTGTAAATCAATTACTTTATGTAATTTAAAGTTTTCACATATTACAATGTATAATAGTATTCCTAAAGATTACATAGAGCAATAACCACAATTCGTGAAAATTTTGCCTTGCTTATCAAGAATGCATCGTGAAAAAATCGCGAAAATAGTGATCTACAATATAGTGTTACCCATTGAAATATTTCTATCTTCTTACATGAGAGAAAAGTATTTTTTTAAAAAATAAAGGAAAATCAATTGAAAACCTTGACATGAAGAAAATTTCGGAGTAGAGAACCATAAACACAGAGCATAGAAGGTGCCACTTCTAGTTCCACTGCAATCAAGTCTGATTCCATCTCCCCAGGGTCAAAATTGTCCGGTGCCTGAGGGTGGAGGTATTTGGAGGGACGGAGGGGGGCCAGGAGGGCCTCCTCATCCCCTGACTGAGGGACCTGTTGTAGTAGAACTGGCATGGGGTGGTAGGTGTATCCTATACTGATGGCAACATTAGAGGTGGTCCAGCAGTCTATCCATCCATCACTGCCAAACAGATAATAGAGTATTAAAATAGAACAAATCTTTATAAAAGTACTTTCATTACTGTTAGACTGACTGAAAGAATTCTCAATATTTTAAGTTCAGCTATGAACTGGTTTTAAATTACTGTGCAAATGCTGCTTTTGAAGGATTGCAAAAATTTTATTACTTGAATTTTATGCCCAGTTCACACGGAGAGTTTAATTTGAATTAAACGAATTAGCTTCGCTTAGTGTTCACACAGAGAATTTAATGCGAATTAGATTTGCAAATTTACTGCGCATTAAATTACTGCTAAACTAAATATTTAGTATTTAATATTGGAGGTTTGATTTTATTCATAATACATGTATATCTAAATCTTTTTATCATAAAACTTCACGATGATAATTGTACATGTAACATGAATAATTTTTAAACTTTTTATTTGGAAATTTGAGAATAGACTTATATACATTTACATGCACCACTGTACATGGTCATTTCAGTAATTACGAGTAGTACTTGTCAGTCAATTATTTTAATTAGCACGCTTTACATTAATTCAAGTCAACAGATAATAACCTGTAATTGTTAAAAGGCTTTTTAATAGCCAACAAAGCCAATCAAAACACGTGGGCCATGTGTTGTTTTCTGGCACGTAACTAATGTTACCACGCACGGTGTGTGCATTAAATGCATTATCATGCATATTAAAACACATTTTGAAGATTTTAAAAAATCAAAAAAATTTTTAAAAAGAATTTCACAAGATCGTTTGTATTTGAAATCATTTTCATGGCACAATTGAAGCAATTTATTTTCACAATATTTTTGCTTTCATGTTTGTAAGAAACATCTCAATCTTTTGAATCAATATTTTATATTAATCTTGCTGAAATAAAACAAATGTCGTTTACATAAAGATTAAAGATATAGACAAGGGAGGTAACTTTTAACTAAGAAACCATACAAGAACCACACTTTCAACATAAACTTACAACCGTGAAGATTAATCCAACATGTACGTGTATAATTGGTTCAAAACTCAAGGAAAAAAAAGGTAATCACTAAATGTAGTATCAGAGACATGATTATTATATCAGGTCACCGCAGAATGCTATGTGAGCTACAATCACAAAACACAATTGTTAGCATGTACACTGATAAAAATATTTGCTATCAATATTATTCTGTTTATCCGTTTTCACAGATCTTTTATGTTGATACCAGTGACTGACCATTTTCTGGTTGATGAGATGAGGTGTCGATCCAGTTGTATTCGTTGGTCAGTAAAATCAGCTCAAACTCCTTGATCTGTAGGTTAATGGTCCAGGTGTAGGGTACGAAGTGATAAATGTCAGGGACCGTCTTCACCGACCAATCATTGATCAGGTCTGTACAGGTGGAAACAAAATTCAAAATGTAAGAAAAATACTTACAATCTAATCCCCCAAAATTAATCAGTTTATTTAATACAGCTGCACATGAATTGCTTTTTTTCCCCTCTTATTTAAAATGGTAATATGTAACTTTTTTTGTTGTTTCTATATACTGGCAAACATGTACAGGTACTGTATATGCAGTCAGACACTATTACCTGAAACTAAATGGGACTGAGCAAAAACTATGAGATATCAAAGCATTTGAGATACTGAGCTTGATATATACAAAAATACAGAAAAGGTGGTTAAGACACTCAATTCACTTGGACATATTTGGTACTGTATACGATAAGGAAATCTTTGCCCTCGTTTTATCTTCATCTCTTTCGTCCCACCCTCATTTGGGCAAATTTAAAATGGGGTAAATTCAAAGAATACAGTATAATTTCTTTAACAAAACTATGACTGGGTGAAATTAAAACGGGGCAAAATGGTTTGCCAGTGTGAAAGGGCGAAAATAACCATGTATACATTATTCAATACATGTATAACAAAGTTCAAGATACCAAATTTCAACTGTATATCATACATGATGATTTATATGTTAAGCTGAATAAAATTTTATATTATATATTAACATTCCTATTAAAATGTAATCTATACACACCTGTGAAGAAATGTTTGTGTTCAAATATCAGACAGACAGTAGTTTTACAGGCTATGAAATCACAGGTCCAGTCCTGGTGACCATTCCATGTTATTGGGTAAAAGGCTTTTACTGTGAACTAAGAAAAACACAGAAAAACAATAATTTTTTCCTCATATTTCAGAGAAAAAAAAACCAAATTCTAATTTATATGTTTTCTAGCATTATAATAAAAATAACTACAATTAATTGACTACATCCTCATCATAAAATCATGTTTGTTGAAAGAAATGTTAATGATTATAAACATATTAGACGTAATTTCTGTTCTTTCAAAGCTAAAAAAAAATCTGTGGCTTGAGTCAATTAAAATGCTGTAAACATGTACCTCAAATGTCTCACACTCCACCAGTGACCTGTATTGTAGACTGGTAGTGGCGTCCACAAGGAGAAGCTGACCATGAACTGTGGTGGTGTAACCCTCGGGACTGGTGACCCAGGGAACTGTGACCTCTATGTATGACCCCTGACCTGTGCCCATGTGAATTGCCTGGGTCTCCTGGTTAACACACCAATCAACAGTTTTTTTTTTTTTTACATGTAGTATTGATGGTAAACATTGAACAAAATTCAATACTATTATAATAAATATTATTATTTTTCAATTTTAAAAAAATCAAGGAATCTGTCCATTTCCCTTAATTGCAAAGAATTCTTTGTTAAAAAATTTAAATAATGGCTGTGGTTCATAAATTTTAAACTCACAGAGTCTTTAGTGAACAGAATGTCTACGGTGGAGGTCTGCATTAGGTTAATCATGAACTCAAACTTCTTATAATTCCTGTATTCCCCTGGTTTGGCCTCTTCTGTTGGCACCATATCCTGATAGTCAGCAGGATAGAAAAACTTCCACAGCAACTCCCTGTCACAAAACAAGGCAAAACATTAAGCATTCGTCCCACGACTGTTTTTATTTTCATGTAAATTCTACTTTGTCAAAATTCATATATAATGACAAACAAAATTGCTTTCAAAATGAAGTTTCCTATGTGGAACCTATTAGAATTTGTATACCTTTGTTTATCTACCCACGGCCCATAGTTTATGTCTGTATTTTTTCCACACTTGACATCCATCCCCAGACAAGGATAGGTCCTCCGTACAACTGTCTCTCCATCCGCTAGCTCTACACTCTCTGGCTCATAAGGGACAATTCCTGTAACCCCCAAAAAAATCATGCATTTGAAAACAAGAGGCCCAAGGGCCTTGAATCGCTCTTCTCATAAATTGTACAATCTATCACTTCTCTTAGAAGCCTCCAACTCTATTAGAATCATAAGACCCAAAATGCATCAACTTACAAAGTTTGATAATATTTAGCCAGTTAAGACTGAAGATATTATAATATAATTATAAAATACCATAAGTAGGTCACAGTGATCTACCTTTTGATTGAAATTTTCCGAGGACTCAAGATACATTAATTGACAAAGACTGATGATTCTAATTAAATAAGTACCTGAGATATTCAAAAGTAGGTCACCATGACCTACTTTTTGGTCAACATTCTCTGAAAACCCAAGATGCATCATCTGACAAAGTTTGACGATTCTAAGACAATTAGTACCAGAGATAATTAAATATAGCCATCAAATGTCAAAAGTAGTTCACGTTGACCTACTTTTTGGTCGACGTTATTCAAAAACCCATAATGCCTAAATTGACAAAATTTGATGATTCTAAGCCAATGAGTACCTGAGATATTCAAAATTAGGTCACCGTGACCTACTTCTTGTACATTCAATGAAACCCTAAGATGCCTCAACTGACAAAGTTTGATAATTCCGGGCCAATAAGTACCAGATGTAATTAAATATAGCCATAAAATGTCAAAAGTAGGTCACAGTGACCTACTTTTTGGTCTACGTTCTCCGGAAACCCAAGGTGCCTAAACTGACAAAGTTTGATGATTCTAAGCTTATACGTACCTGAGATATTCAAAAGTAGGTCACTGTGACCTATTTTTTAAATGATTTTCGCAGTTGACATTCTCCGTAAAACCCAAGATCCCTCAATTGACAAAGTTTGATGATTCTTAGCCAATAAGTGCCTGAGATACTCAAATATAGCCATAAAATGTCAAAAGTAGGTCACTGTGACCTACTTTTTGGTCGATGTTCTCCGAAAACCCAAGATGCATCAACTGACAAAGTTTGATGATTTTAGGTCAATAAGTACCAGAGATACTTAATTATAGTCACAAAATGTCAAAAGTAGGTCACCATGACCTACTTTTTGGTCATCACTCTCCGAAAACCCAAAATGCATGGACTCACAAAGTTTAATGATTCTCAGCCAATAAATACCTACGATACTTAAATAAAGCCATAAAATGTCGAAAGTAGGTCATCGTGACCTACATTTTGGTCGACATTTTTCAAAGACCCAAGATGCATCTACTGACCAAGTTTGATGATAGTAGGTCTGAAGGTAATAAAAATATGCGTTTTAAACAATTTGAAAACAAATGTCGGCAAAATTCAAAAAGTAGGTCACAGTGACTTACTTTTTCATAAATATGTTTGAAGGTCCCAAGATGCATCAAAGTACAAGATTTGATGATTCTAAACCTCCCAGTGTCTGAAATAATGGGATTTAATGATTTTAAAAGGATAAGTCATAAAGTTCAAAAAGTAGGTCACGGTGACCTACTTTTTGGTCGATGTTCTCCGAAAACCCAAGATGCATCAACTGACAAAGTTTGATGATTTTAGGTCTATAAGTACCAGAGATACTTAATTATAGTCATAAAATGTCAAAAGTAGGTCACCATGACCTACTTTTTAGTCGTCACTCTCCGAAAACCCAAGATGCATCAACTGACAAAGTTTGATGATTCTAAGCCAATAAGTACTGGAGATACTTAAATAAAGCCATAAAATGTCAAAAGTAGGTCACCGTGATCTACTTTTAGGTCGTCACTCTCCGAAAACCAAATATGCATGGACTCACAAAGTTTGATGATTCTCAGCCAATAAATACCTACGATACTTAAATATAGCCATAAAATGTTGAAAATAGGTCATCGTGACCTACATTTTGGTCGACATTTATCAAAGACCCAAGATGCATCTACTGACCAAGTTTGATGATAGTAGGTCTGAAGGTAATGAAAATATGCGTTTTAAACAATTTGAAAACAAATGTCGGCAAAATTCAAAAAGTAGGTCACAGTGACCTACTTTTTCATAAATATGTTTGAAGGTCAATTAGTTTACTAGTTTTAAAACAGTCTTTTTCTTTGCAAGATGCATCAAAGTACAAGATTTGATGATTCTAAACCTCCCAGTGTCTGAAATAATGGGATTTAATGTTTTTAAAAGGATAAGTCATAAAGTTCAAAAAGTAGGTCATGGTGACCTACTTTTAAGTTGACATTGTTCGAGGACCCAAGATGCATCAACTGACAAAGTTTGATGATCATAGGCCTTAAATTGTCCAAAATATGCCTTCAAATCAATTTGAAAACAAATCCCCGCAAAATTTAAAAAGTAGGTCACCGTGACCTACTTTTGAGTTAACATGATGTGAAGTCGAAAGATGCATCAACTTACAAGAATTGATGATCCTAGTCCTGATAGTAAGCAAAATATACACGTTTTTATTAATTGTAAATTTAGGTCAACTTTGAAGTGACCTTGAGACCACACCCTTTGCCCCAGGGTAATTCCCCGTGCAAATTTTAATCTTCGACATATCCTGATCCTTGTATGTAAGTTTGGTGAAAATCTGCCTTGTGGTTATGGAGAAGAAGATTTTTTAGCAACCAGTACATTTGGTTTTGTTTTCCTGATATCTCCCCTTGTTTAAGGGTCCCAACCCTTATTTTAGTATAAATGGTAGCCCTTGGGCCAAGGATACCCTGTGACAAATTTGGTACTGATTGGCCAAGGGGTTCTCTGAGTTATGGCCCATATTCTAAAAAGTTTACGCACACCGCACACCACACAAATGGCCATAGCATTAGCTCTTTGAGCCTTAGGCTCAGAAGAGCTAAAAATGTGATTTCTCTAAAAAAAGGAAAAGACATGGAAAAAGTTTACAATATTCATACATTAATATCATCCTTTTACCTCTCAAACTCAACTGATTGGCTTAGTAAACATCAAAATTCAAAGTGTAATATTAACATATTTCTTATGACCAGTATGCATAGCAGCAAAGCTATTGTTAACTGTTGATGTAGAAAATTCATGACAACATGTAGATAATTTTTAACGAAATACCTGGTTCATCCATATAAAAATGTACATCTATCTTTCTAGTCTGTAGAACAATAAATCCTTCTCCCATGTACCGAGGTGCTCTACAATTAATTAGAAGGAATTAAAAGAAAGCTAACAAGAAAGAAACTGCAGAATCTCTTCCAACATACATGTATCTATGTATTTGCATCTTCATTGATACTGTAAATTTATAAGCATCATTGAACCTCAAATGCATTGCCATGAGTTGTAAGTACATGTATCCTTCTTTATGGGATTTTTAAAAAAAAAAATCAATATATTAATTTTTAAAATTTTTAAATACAGAGCATGCATAATATGATTTATGTATCCTTGGAATTTCAAAAGATCAAAAGAAAGTTCAAACTTAATAGAAGACTTACTCATCAAGTGGTCCTGTGTATTTGTTACTTTGTACAAACATCAGTTTAAAATTGTCTGCTTTACCGATGGCATCATGCATGAACTGGTCAAACGGTGTAGAGGCTGGCTTTGTCGTGTAGGTGAAATGTCCGTCCTCAAAACTGAAGATCAGGGAGTGGGGGACTAGGTGATTTCCAAATATTATTCTTCCCTGGAAAGTACAAAATGTTTTAAAAATCATTTTTATCTGACTGCAAAATTTTCATTAGCTTTTTAATGCATCTTTGCCATAAACTTTATTCATAGTATCTGCATCATTAAAAATACTGACATCAATTTTGAAAGAGAAATTATAGTACTTTCAGATATAATGTGTAAACAGTTTCAATGTTTTCATGCGGTGATGTCATATTGTAACCAAAATTCATAATATTGGCACAACTGGCACTTCGGATGTGAGGATTTTTTCCAAGATATTCAATATCTTCAACAAAAATTAGTTTTGAAATTCCAAAACAAAGGGTTTTGCACAAGTGTAAGACTTGTTTAATATGTGCAGACTTACCGAGGACATTTCTACTTTGATAACTGGAATGAGGTCTCTCCAGTTTACATTTGATAACCCTGAGCTGCTGGAATTAAATTACAAATATCATCAACATATATTACACGTATCTAAAATTTAATTTATGCCCTATTCTTTTCTTGAAAAAAATCTTAAATTATCAATATTTACATTTCCAATGTCTTTGTCTGAGATAAAATTACAAATACCGGTAGTCAATGTACTTTATTTCCACATCAATGCACTGGTTCATCGATAGGCGCGGTTAAAAAAAATTACGTGCAGGGCAAGACAGACAAGAAGCTTGTAGCACGTGGATTGGTGGAATCAATAGCATGTAAATATAAGGAATAACTGTCAGATTTTTCAATTTCATGACGATGATCAATGGATTGGTTTGCGTGATAATTTTATGCATAAACGCCTTCGGCAAGCTAATCGATTAATCACATCATGAAATTGAAAAATAAGACAGTTATTCCTTAACTGAATATCTGAGTACTGCATGTATTTTTCTGGCTAATTTTTGAAATTATATAAAAAAGAATATATAACCTAGCTTTGGGGTATGCCCAATAAATAGACAAGGTACATTATTGCAATGAAAAGGTTACTGAATACAGTAAAACTTAGATATAAAGAACTCAGTTAAAAGGAAATCTTGATTATTTATAAGGATTTTTATGAATCCTATGGGTAACATTTAACTATGTTCCATAAAAATAGAAATATGAAGGTTCACTGCTTTAAGAAAGTTTTGACTTCCTTTTGCATATGATAACTGAATTTTACTGTTACAGTATTATATACAAACACAAAATTAATGAAATCATCTATTTTTTCTGTATTAATTGGCAAATATAGTCTCATATTAAATTCTGTATTGGTAAATATAAAATCGTTTTTTAATCATTGTTAAGGGTACTTCTGAACAGCTGTATGTACAATGCACATTAACAGGAACAATAATGTATTTTCAATAAACTGGGAAAAATCAATAGTGTTGGTTTTATCTATAGGTGTAAGGAAATATAAAATCATTCACTTGTTTTTGGCAGGAGTAACTTCCTCCACTAGATCACTTAAATCGGCAGTCCCACCAAATAATTTATCAAGTCTGTCGTATGTGCCTGTTTTATTGTAGACATGAACTTGAAAGCCATCCAAAAACATTTGAACCCTTGTTTCCATATGTGATAAATCTGGAAAAAAGAAAGCTAAACCTTTAAGTACATGTACCGGTAGTATATAATTAAGTAAATATAATTATATAATAGCAATTTCCCATATACAGTAGATAATATTATATAACACTATAGTAACCTGTTAAAATTACTTATATATGAAAATTTTGTAAAATTAAAACAGGAAAAGTTTAACAAAAAATGCATAGTTTACATTTACTGTAAATGTAAAAGCTATGAACAGATGAAGACTTTCTAACACGTTAGTTGCTTTGGGTATTTTCTGAACATACGTGCACTTGTAAATTAATGTACCTTCATTAAGATCTTTTGGAATATACTTCTGCCACCATTTAAAAATAATCCATCCATATTGTATCCGTACTGAGAAATCCTCCGTTATGTAATGAAAATCTCGCAGCATAATTTTCCCAGACAACACAGAGAAGGAAAATGACCCTAAAAAGTTTCATAAAGGAATGGATAGAAGTTTGATTACTTTTATGATTATATATAATTGCTCAAGGCATACATCTGATAGCATTGTTTTCTACTTAACAACAAATATATGTTTAAATACAGATTGTGTTATCATCACATGTGAGCATAGATATTTCTTCTATTCATTCTCAATGTTTTTGTACTATAATAATAATATATAATGGATAAAAGCTTGAATGTTTCTTAATTTCAAAAATGAATTTTTAAGAAAATCTATATCAATCAAAAAGTCAAGACATCATTCTTTCAACTGTCAATTACAATTAAATGTCCTTAGCTAGTTTCAAAATAGGTCTAGAGAACTTTTCTTTAAGTTAGGCCATAATAAATAAATTGCTAGATTCTCATCCGAATTTTTTTAAACATCGAGGCGGGCGGGCAGCTTTTATTTTCTATCTTTTATTTTTTCAATTTTGTAGATTTTTATTGACCTGGTCAATCGGTGTAATTTTATCTACAATACCCGAATAAAAGTCATAGTAAAGGTTCAATTATCTCTTACTTCACATCATCACCAATCTTTTTCAACCAATGACCCTTGTTTAAAAAATATACGCATATATTACACCAATTACCATCTTTTCAGCTGTCAAAATCATGTCGACTTTCACGGGATTTAAAACGAAAGTAGAATGGTAGATGAATACCTACTTGTGTGCCAAGTTATATTAAACGAAGAAAAACAGAAATAAAAAAAATGAGGCGGGGCTATAAAATCGGGCGGGCGGGGATGAGAATCTAGGAATATTTTTATTATGGCCTTATCAAAAGCCAACTTTAAATAAATGTTATCTTACAACTTTACTAGTAGTTTATTTTTTAAAAACTTGGAATTTCACTTATCATCATTTTCTTTATGTAGATTATTTGTATTGGACAGGTATTTGTCAACCCGAATTATTTTTGAAAATATAATTTATTGTGCAGTTAGTCTAATTTAGCATTTATCCCCAATTACCGTAAAGCATACTGGGCTCACAGCGGAATGATATTCATGTTCTGATATTTGTTTAACAATTTAAATTTGAACATAAAATAATTTTATACACTTGTGTACAGTCTATATTGAAACTCACTGGTCCAAAACTGTAGGCCAGTGAATTTTGATGTCGGGTCAGTGAAAATCAAAATTCAAGAAGTCCGATGGGCTTGTTGATTATAAAAATCATACACAGTCAATATATATCTTAACTGACTTACCTGCATAAATTTCATTGATATATAATGTAAAAAGAACAAGCACGTGTTGTTGAATCGTATTATTGTAACCCTATTATAACATGGATATATTACGTAACAACCGGAACTAGCTAGTAACTATTGACTAGTACGTAAAATGTGCAAATTTCCAACAAACAACTTACCGAAACACAACAAAAGACGAAAAATGGCGGCATTCAAATGTTGAAGTGCATAAACATGAATAAATTTACAGTTATGAAAATGTATTTATTTTATTTTTTAATTAAGGGGCCAGTAAAAATTTTGGTGGGCCAGTAAATTTTGAAAGTTCACTGGTCCGACTGGCCAGTTAGTTTGAAAAGTTTTCGTGAAGACTGCTTTTATTTAAAAAAAAAAAAAGCATTCTTACACCAGGTAGACTGAATGTGGACTTTATCTATAAGTAATATGGGTACAAGTCAAAATGGCACCTGGTGAAAACGGCACTTATGAAATATGCAAATAATTGCATTTAATACATACCAAACTTAATATGCCCATATTTCACAAACTTGTTGATGATCACAGTAATAATTAACCCAAACACTCGTGAATTGTAGAGGGTGATGTAAACAACCCAGGCCTGGGCAAGAAATATGGACAAGAAAAACACATAAATGGATGAAGATGGAAGATTGTCCTGAATGTCTCGGATGAAGGAATCATGGTCATTTGTTTTGTTGACAAGCGTTTCCTGCAAATTCAGTTGGTCCGCCTCCATGTTGTTTTTTGTTTAACCTTCTATTCCAATGGACAGCATACTTTTAATGATTTTGCTTTTGATTTCTGCATAGATTGTGCTTAATGTGGTAATATTCGCGCGCAGTAGTCCACATCATACTGTTCCAACGCAGTTTGTTTTATCTCGACTTCTCACGCGAAACAGACGGCCGGGTAGTCCATATTTAGTGGTGAAATGGATTGCAGAGATTCCTTGCTGTGCATGTCCTATTAAATATTTGCATTTCTAATGATTTTTAAATCTTTTATCTTCGTTTTTCATTAGTTTGAGCCATCGCAAGACATCAGGAAGGTTGACACTTTTTTCGTTCATCGATCCTTCCTTTCAAAACCGGAAGCATAACCGATGAAAATCTCTTTGATACAAAACCGCACGGGAAAGATCAAATTGTTCCGAGATAGTATCTCAGCTAGAATCAGTCGCGGCGTGATTTACATTCTTATTGAAAAAAAAACTTTTTGAGAAATAAATATAGCTTTGTATGTCCTTATACTCATAAATCGACGTTCCAATAATAAACATGATTAACAAATGTAGTTAAACATGTTATTTAAAAGTCGTCTTAAAAGTTTTATATTTGCAACAATTTTGATTCTCGAACAGCATGAACAGTGACCCAGAATTTATTTGGAGCGTCTTAGGTTCAAGTCAGAGAAAACAAAAGTCTTAGCAGCTATATATTAAAAGAAAATTAATTTTTTCTATATAGTATATTTTTGTCATCAATATAACATCACGTGTAACTGTTGTTTTCTTATTTTCTCTAAATCATGAATTTTCAGTTTGAGATTAGAAAAAAGATTGGATTTTTACAGGATGCAAACACAGGCGCTTGGAAGTATTGATCGACACCCCTTTCCATTTTCCTCCTTCTTAATCTGGAATCGAGGAACCTTTTTCCTATATTGTATTCTAATATGCACTATACGAGAATACTCGTATACATATGTAACCCCCTTGTCTCTACATTATAATCTGTTAACTAGTATCCTTTTCACTGATACATTAAAAAGCTTTTATGATGTACATGTATCAGTAGAACACGATATCAGGATATTATTGAAAAAAAAGCTTATACTATGTGTGTAGACAAATAGGTTAAATTATTGATAACATATAGTGCACATTAGAATTATGTACAAAATAGGAAAAAGGTGAGTCGACCCCGGATTTAAAAAGAAAAAAAGGAGGGAGCTCCATACCCAAGTGCCTCTAAATACAAACCGAAATATGCTTGAAAAGCTGACAAGCGAATTGAAGATACTACCAAAACAAGAGGCCCAGGTTCTTCATCGCTCACCTGAGCAACTGGCTAGATAAACCAAAAATCAGTTCAGTATTTTGAACAAAAGTTAGGAAGTTAAAAGTGGTGCATAGAGTTTCGCATATGAAGTCAATTGTGTAACATAAACTCAAAAACAGGTGATGTTGGTATATTAGCATTTCTTTGGGGGAAAAATATCGATCACATTGGCGTCGGAAGCAAATTGAAAGGGGGGGGCTAAACCAACAAAAAGAGGTATACCCCATATATAAAGTATATAGTCTTTGAGAGTTATCTCTCATAGAGGGTTAACGTTAATGTATGAACGTGAAGATGTGCCTTTGTTTTGATAGATTGATTATATATTGTTTAACGTCTCACTCGAGAATTTTTCACTCATATTGTTTTGGACAGGATGTAAAGAATTTTCTTTATCTACCCATTGATCAAAAAAGCGTATTGCCAAGGGGAATTAAGTTTTCATTTGTGAGGTTTCTTATGAGAAAAAAAACAAAAGACAGATAATGTAAAATTATAGTTTATTAAAAATAATGTCAAATTTACAAGTAATTAAAGCATGCAGGACCAAATCTTAATGGCCACGTAGATTCACAGCAAAAATAAAATATAAAAGATACATTTGGTGCCGCCAAAAAAATTAAGATAAAATCAAGAAATGATAATTATGAAGACAAACATGATGTTTTATATGATAGCACATAGTGCTTACTATAGCTGTCTACCAAAATGTTTCATCGTGAACATATAATTTAGGTGTCAGGTCATTTCTCTCTAAAAAATTTTCTCTCCCAGGTTATTTCTCTCTCCTACCATTTCACGGTAGGTCATTTCTCTCTCCTTCCTGGGTGTCTATAATTTACCCAGAAAAATTTGCCAAACAAATAATAAATAAAAAGTAATGTGTGTGCATGTTCAAAAGTCCTGAAAGACACACGATGGGTGGCATGGATTGTCACAGTGTGGCTCAGAGAGTTTATATAGCACCGCAACACATAATAACTGTCCCATTAATGAAATTGTTCCTCAGAGGAAATCCCACTCGCTGTACTTTGGCTCATGGTATGTTAGCCTTTTCCACTTGCGCTGGTGACTGAATTTTACACGCTCAGACCATTCCAGCTGAAAAGAAAAAAACATTTTATAGTGTATTAACCATCGTTAAACTGGATATATACCATAATGTTTGAAAAGGAGGGAGGGTTACAAGAGGGCAGTTGTACCTTTCGTCCCCTTTAATTGTGAATTCACAATTTTAAATCACACCCCTGATTTTCAAAAAAACAAAAAATAAATAAATGAAAAATAAATAAAAATAAATGCGCCATTTTTAGAACAATTTATATTAGAACCATTCTGGATGTAATAATGCTACAGTTGTACATTTAAAATTAATAATGATATTCTTTTCATAATTCATTTGTAAAAAATGAAAATTTAAAGTGACGTAAATGAGACCCTCACCAGATGAGAGGGGTATCTCAGGAGATCCGCCTCTCTCCGATCAACATCCATTGTCGCATCATTCTGAAAAAGGGATCAAAATAGATTAGATTTCAATTATACGTAGGTGATTCTAAGAAGAAAAAAAGATTTTCAAGTAATTTTCAAAAAATGTTTTCAGTTTTGAAAGAGCAATTCAAGTGGGATCACCCTACAGTTTGGACTCCCCCCCCCCCCACTCCACACACACACACATTTTAAAATGTCTAACCCTAAAAACCATAACCCTGGAATTCGAATCGCCCATGCAAAAGGCAAAGGTTTGGACAGAATGTCAAGTAAATTATATCAAACCATTCTCTAAATGCAAGATTCTTACCCAGTTATCAAGTCTTTCCTTGATTTTCTCAGAAAAAGACTTGGAAATGAACTGTTGCTAGGAAAGAAAAGAAGACAGAATAGAAAATAGATAAAAGAAGGATATGGAAATAACGAACAGTATTCAATCTCAACGTCCATTAAACAATATACAAAATAAGAGCAGAGCAAACACGGACCTCCGAAACATCAGAGGTGGGATCAGGTGCCATGGAGGAGTGAGTATCCCCTGCCGACCGGTCACACCCGCCGTGTGCTCGTTGTCATAATCAGGAAATCACCGGAAAAAATCCGTCGTCAGTTCAGTGTATAAATAATGGACTAACAATTGGTATGAAAAACGTCAGTCAGCATTTCATTTAATGATAAATTGTATTTGCTGACAAGGTCATTGTATCGACCATAGAATTTACGAAATGATGACTTTAAACGAGACTGTTGATATTCTTGTTTCATCAACTTGCTTGTCAATAATTTACCTCGTTTAAGAAATTGTTCATACGTAGAGCATGCTCTTGCGTATCGAATCAACTGAGATATATATACTCCGTATGCAGGTGATGAAGGTATATTGCTGCATAAGTAAGGGAAGTTGACGATAGAAAAGTTAAAGTCATCACGTTTATCATATAGCTTGGTTGTTAGATTACCATTAGTGTCTTTTTCAAGTAAAATATCCAAGTATGAAGCAGAAGTGTCGGACTCTGTGGTATCTTTTATCTCAAGCTCACCAGGATATATCGTGTCGACGTAGGAATGGAAATTATCATTATTAATTGATAAAAGAAAGGAAAGAGAGAGAGAGCAAGACTACGAAATAGAGAAAGACTAACTTACCGATTTGTTGATGTTGTCTGTGTGTTGGTTATACTGGTTTGGTTTGTCGTGAGCGGTGCACACCATTTGAGGGTCTCCTGTGGTAGCATTACTAATTCCCGTCGGTGGTACCCGTGACATGTAGACCTGATTTTGAGGGCCCACCAGGTACATAGAGTTACCGTCTGACACAACATGAAAAGGTTGCTCATGTGGAGACATCTCTGCTAGACTGTACGTGCTGCTCAGTCCTTGTAACAATCCAAGAATGTCTGCTTGTGAAAGAACGCACGCAGCGTTGTTGCTTTTGTTGGTTGCACCATCAACTGACTGAAAGTCTTGTTGCAGCTCAGCTGCAACATTTGTACCGCCCGCAACCTCAAGAGTGTTTGTAGCACAGTCTGTCTGCGAAACTTCACAAGCAGTTTCTACGTCATGTATCTCCTTAGAAATTAATGCACAAGCAGCTTCGAAGTCACGAATCTCCTTAGAAATTAATGCGTATTCCTCAGCAGCTGATAGTTTGCCTGCAGTCTCACTGTTGTGACTAGAGGTGTCTGATGCACACGACTCTGTCCTGGGAATTTTGGAGGAATCAGAGGACAAATGAGGGCTTTGTTTCCTCCTGTCCTTCTTTCCTCGTCTGATTTTTCGTTTCTTTGCCTATAAGAAATATATATATTCTTTAATTTCTGAATTATTAACTAAAAATTCAGTAAATGTAAAGCTTCTTTAACAGTACTTCGTTATTTTTTTTTCCATAAAATTATGCAAACGTGTATTTGCACAATTTACCAGAAGTTTATTAATGACTTCTCTCTCTCTTTTTTTAAATTAATTAATTTATTTATTATATTTATTACATTTTGATTATTTATTGTCTATGTATTTAAAAAAACCCGGAACTTTTCATCTTTAATTCTTCATTTATGGTATAATTTTGATCGTTGGGATTTATTTCTGGCGAACATTTTTCAATTTTAAACCCGGAAGTAAAGACCCCCCGACCAGCAATACTTTTTGGCTCAACTCCAATATAAGGATAAAGTAGTTCTTTGACTAAAACAATATAAAAATATTCATACATCAAATGGAGTATACGGAATAAATAGTTCCGGCTGTAAATCCCTTGTAGAAAATCAATGCGCATTATAAATAGCCACACATAAAAACAGAAGTCAAATGAATGCATGGACACGTCGACATTGACAAATTTTGTAGTTGAAGATAACTAAAGAACTGACATTGCATTGACACGTCGACATTGACAAATTAAAAAAAAATTCAGTGCATTGACACGTTGACATTGACCAATTGAAAAAAGTGTCAATGCATCGACACGTCGACATTGACAAATTTAATAAATGTTAATGCATCGACACGTCGACATTGACA